AGTCAAGCGCTCYACCACTGAGCCACAACCCCAGCCCCRGAATCTGCATTTTTAACAACCACACAGGAGGTTCTGATGCAGGTGACCAAACTCTGAGCAACACCACAATGCAGCTTTGCCAYTTGGCCATCACATGGGCTCTTGGTATGTGCCCACCACCTACAGCAGGTCACAGGTCACATGGCAATGTAAAGAGGAGAAAGCATCACCCTGCTGGTAGCTAACAGGATGGAGACCTCTCCCAAGTGAGTGCCTAGTCCAGGGCCCTTCCCATCCATCAGGCCCCCAGGGTCCACCCATGGGTCCTGCTCACCTGTCCGTCTCATCCATGGGGAGTCCATCCATCTCAAACCTGCAGGCGCAGCCATAGTCTTCAAAGTCCCGAGGACAGAGATCAGCGACGCACTTCATTCCATGCACAAATTGGAGCAGCAGAGGGAAGTTGGTGAAGACGGCCTGTAGCCAGGTGAAGCGGGGGCCCAGACAGTCTGGGGAGGAGCGGTGCAGGGGCTGGTGGGCACTGGGAGCCAGGCCCAGGAGGAGCCTGTTCCCTGGACTCCCTGTCCCTTGGGCTGCTGGGTCCTCGTCAGCATGGTGAGGCCCACTGTGTCCTCGTCACATAGTGAGGCCCACTGTGTCCTCGACTGCTCTGAACAGCTCAAGGGAAGCCGGCGTATAAGCCATGGTCCTTGCCAGCTGCTACCAACAGCCATTTGTTTCTCCTTCCTTCCTAATGAAATTGACATTTCTGAGAGAAGCCAGCCTTTGCCTCAGTTTCTGAGACCGTTTCATGTCAAGCACGGTGACCCCATGCTTCTGTGCCAGTGATTGATCTAGGGATGAGCTTCCGACCCAGATCTGCCAGAAGCACTTAAKAGGAAGTCTGTGTGAGGCTCCTTCTGGGACTCCTTCTCTCCTGAGGAAGAGTGCGGGCATGTAAGGACATCTTTGGATCTACACCTTTCCCTTGTTCAATGCAGGTGAGGACATGTGGGTTGTGACCACGTTTCAACCATGAGGCCCCAAACCTAAAGCTAATACCYTGCATGCTCGGGGAAGAGGCAGAGTAAGACAGAGTGGGCCTGCAGGGTCTCTGGCACCTGCCCTGRGCCAGTTCATCCATTCTGGTGCCTCAGACCTCTGGTGTCGTGTGAGATAATGAAATATCTATATGATTTGTTTCTTTTATGGTTGGTTTGTTGAATGGATCTCACAAATAGCACAGTAAAATCATASAAGTAACACTATAGAATTATAAGCCAGGGTAGCAAGGAAAGGTGTTCTGAAACACAGTTTCTCTCTCTCTCTGAGCCCCTGTGTGCCAGACACAGTACCAGGTGCTATTAAAAGTTTAGATCAATAGAGTACATAAGATGTTGGGCAGCATTTATTTCATCTATTAGTCCATAAATTTCATATTAATCTTTCTAAGTGCATGTTGCTCTGTTGTCACTGTTTCACAGGTTAGGGACACTGATGGTCAGAGCCATGCCCAATACCAACCAAGAATAATGATTTTCTCTGAAGTAGGCAGCAACCARATAGRTAGGAAAACAGGRCTGACTGTTTCTGACTCTGTAACTCATTGCTGCYCTCCTTGTTCTCTGTCTCTGACTGTGGGGTCACTGGGTGCTAAAGGAGATGACCCAYTCTACTGTCTGGATCCAGCAGGGGGGTGACTCACCTGAACCAAAAAGCCATCACTACCCTCCTCAGACCTGGGGGACATTGAAGCTGGCCAGGGAGGCTGTGGACACTCAGAGGCAGACACCAARGCCCAGGTCATTGCCTCAGATTTCCTAAACACATTTCATGTCTGACACTTGGTGGATAAAAGCAATTTCAGATTTAACTTACCAAACATTTCAGCCACACTTTCCTCATTTTTAAACATTCCATTGATGAATGTGGTATCTAAGTGGAAGAAAGAGAAAACAAAGAGTCTCAGTTTCTTCTCCTTTCCCCCTCCCCATCTGGGGAAGGTCAMACTTTTTCTAAGAACAAATTTGACCTTGGGCTAACTTTCTAGTAATGTGGGTTGCCACAGAAACCTGATAAAAATGAAATGTGAACTGGGTTACTAGGCAACATCACTAGATGGCACAAATGACCCTTAAATGGCAGGGGGCATGAGATGAGAAGTCTTCGTCTCAGGGGCTCTTTCAGTGTGTGGCTCTTGTACCTGGGCATGTCCCCACTGGACATCCTAGATATACCTGTGAATGGTCACTAGAGTTACTGATCCTCGGGGAGAATGAAGCTTCTGGGTCATTGCTGGCTCTGTGGCTGCTCCACCTGAGTCCCACTCCTTTGTACCCACGCTGATCCTAGGGTCCCCTGGACCACTGTGCAGATTGCCTCGAGGGCTCCCCCTGCTGGAGAGAAATGCCTGCCGGGGCCCTGACCTTCTAAGTGCCAGCGTGGCCTGGTCTAAGTGTCCACTTAGAGACATTTGGAGGACATTGTACGTCCTCTGAGAGTGCTGTCATTGGGAGAGAGGCCACTTGTCATTAAGGTCTGAGTGGACTCAACACTTCATATGGGCTCATTCAACCTTCCCCTCTGAAGGCTCACATCACCAACTGGCTCACTGGATTGATGCTCCAGCTGCTCTGTCCTCACGAGGACCCTCCTAAGAAGTCTTTGTGACCAACCACTGTGACAATTTTCCCTTCCCCAAAGACAAATGTGGATCCTCCTTTCTCATAATCGGAGGACTGCAGTGCACCGTGCCCCTCTTTTCCTGACTGCGGGACCCTCGAAGACTCTCCATCTGTTTCATTTGCTGCTCTCCCTTCCCAGCCGCCTTTGTCTTCTGATAAACTTGAACTTTGTTTCAAACTAGAGACCACTGTCGGCTCAGACACCAGAGGGGTCACCACAGTCACTGGCTCTAGGGCATGTTCAGAGGGATATTCTCTCTGCCAAAGTCCTAGCTGGTGTTCTGTCTCCTAAGAAATGTTCAAAGAATCCTTACTGATATGTTTTGAGAGTCCTGGTGGCAACGCCTGGGGAAAGTGTGGGGTGTCCAGAGCATGGGCCCCTGTAAATAAAAGGAAACAGTGTTAGCACAAACTCTGTCCCCACCCCTTGCTGGGCTGAGACTGGGCAGTGACAGCCAGGAGGACAGTGAGGATGCCCCAAACTCAGTTCCCAGCACGCTTTCCAGCACCTGCCGTGTGCCTGGTCTATGTGGTGGGTCAGGAGGGGCTGGAGTTGTCCTGGGGGTCGGCTTGGACCGAGGCCTTCTGGCTGGAGATGGAGAGATTTGGGGCCTTACTGGAAGCTCTCTTTGCATATGAAGCCTACAGCTTTATTTAGATTGTRTGCTGGTTTTGGAGTTTCTTAAGATAAAGCAGGGGTGGGAAGAAGTAAAGACATGCTAGAGCCCTCAACCCCAAGGAGTTTGTAATGGAGGACAAGGGTTTCCTCCAGACTGAGCATCAGAATCACCAGGGGTACRGGCTCAGTAAACATTCTGACTCCACAGTCTCAGATCTGACCCTGACAGTCTGGAGCGGGACTCAGAAACAGGCATTTTAAACAAGTGTCTCTGCTAGTTTTGAAGCTGCTGATTTAGAACTTCACCTTGAACCATGCTGCTTGGAGGTACAGGGATGATGGGTAGGACCACACCAGTGCTTGAGATAACTCCACCAGCAGCCAGCTCAGCACCCTGTGGAGCACAGGGTGAAGCCTGGTCATGGGGACAAGCAGACTCTTCCCTAAAGACTTAGGCTTCCATTCCCCCAGTGATGGAAAGCACGTGGTCATCTGGAACAGCAGAAGGACTTAGTCTTTCTCATCAAGTGGTCAGTTCTGTAGCCAGGCCTGTCAGCTTGGAGACCTTCTCCAACTGAAAGCCCAAGAACCAACCATCATAGAAACACATGGTGGTTCCATCTGCTCATGGTGATGCCCAGAGGATGCCTGACCAGGCCCTGCTTGGCTCAGAGCAGTTTTCTCAGCCTGGTGTTTTGGGTAGAAAATGTTCTACTGCAGGAAACTTTCTAGTGCATTAGAGGGTTCTGGGCAGCACCTCTGGCCTCTACCCACTAGATGCCAGTAGAACTGCCCTGACCAGTGATGCTGGGTGAGGCTGTGTGTGTGTGTGTGTGTGTGTGTGTGTGTGTGCACATGCACGCACACACACCTTCATGTGTGCACATGTGCTTGTGTGTAAAACACCACTGGGTAAGATTCACCAGCTGAAAGACAAGGACCTGGGCAGAGGTGGGATCCTAATGACCAGGGTCAGCAGCCAGCCAGCTGGACTTCACCTCTTGCTATCCCTTGACTAACATTCAGAAGCTACCACTTTCACTGTCTCCTGAGAAAATTCATTCATTTGGAGATTCCCCCAAAGCTTTGCTGAGGAAGTCACCTGCCCTCGCCCCCAGCCCGCTGTGTTCTGGGACCYGGGTGGCAGCAGCCTCTCTGATTTTTCACCTGGGAAACAGGAGGGAAGGAGGGCTCAAGAGTCGCCTTGGCTCTTGCAGTCAAAGGACGAGGACCCTCGAGTTGTCTGCCCATTCCCGTGGTGATACCTACTGATACTGGAAGAAGAAGAGCCAAGGTATGGAGTGTGGCTAATGGGGTCCCAAGGGAAGCTTCCCTGCGTTGGCAGAGAGCATCTGGAGACACTTCAGAGCAACAGAGTTTTCAGGCAAGAAAGATGGGATGAGACGCAAGCCAGGCCACGGTGGTGCACCTGTGTGCTGCATTCGGGGCCAGTGGGTTGGTACTCTGGCTCCTCTTGGCTCCAGCCATTCTGGATGGTTCTGTTCTCACCAGGTGCCCTGGGCCTTTGCATGGCCTGTGACTTCTGTGGAAAGCTTTGGCCATGGCTCAGCCCAGCAGCCCCTGCTCACTACGTAAGGCTTACTTAGCACAATACYATGTGGAAGTCTTTCTTCACTCCTCCTCTGACCTGGGGGATTCTAGGCTCTTTGCCCATCCTCTGGCCTCCTGTCCCCTGTTTCTAGTGACCTCCACTGTGCATACCTTTCATTCTGGTTCCCAGGTCTCCTTACTTACCAGCCTTTTGCATTAGACTGACTCTGGAGGGCAGGAGCCTCTTGGCTGCTGTAGCTCCAGGGCTGATGCCTCACTTAGAAACTTAACCAACAGTCACTGAGTGGATAGAGGAACTGGGAAGACTGGCTGGGGAGGGTGCAATAGGAGCCGGGAACCCAGTGTGATTGGCTGGTTGCACTTGTCCAAGACAGAGAAAACGAGATCCAGGTTAGGACCCAAGACTGCAAACCCACACCTGTCCAGGGCCAGACAGACGTTGTAGTTAGAGGAGCAAGCCCAGYGCTGGGCATCAGCAGGAAACAGTGGGGACATGGAGAAGTAGAGGGACAGCTGGGACTCAGCCCCAGGCCTTGGGGAAGGAGAACCACATTTGAGATTTTCACAAATCTGTTGGGAATCTGAATTCTTGGTGACATCTTTCAATTTTAAATTCTTGGCTCCAATGTAAAATAAAATATTTTGCAAACTGAACAACACAGGCGTGTCAGTTACCTTTGGTTTGCAGAGGGAAGAAAGGCTCATGCTGGAGCGCAGGGTGGCTGGGGCCAGTTCTCCACGTGCCAGTRGAGGAGAGGGCTCCTGGCGTCAGGTCAGGGCCAGCCTCTCCCCGTGTGCCACAGTGTCCACATGGGGAGGGAATTCCCTCCTTCCTGGGAACTGTGGAGCCCTCCTGTCTGGAGCCCTCAGACCAGGACAGACAGTCCTGACACCGGTTCCAACGGAGCCCTAGGCACAGAGCCCCTGGGATTGCCCTGGCATACTTCACACTTGGCATCATTGCCTGGGAAATCATTTCATCAGCCTAACAGCCCACAGCTGAGTACCTGCTGCCCACTTCTGCAGCGATTGCAAGATCTTGCTGCTCCTGGGTAATTACCTCACTTGTACTCCTTAGTGCAACTGCTAATTAAATTCCTCTTCTGGAGGGCGGGAGGTGAGCTTGTCACCCCTGCATGTTAATAAGGCATGCTCTCCCCCACACTCAGCTTGCTTGCAGGAGATCCACGCCCACACATTTTCATTAGCAACTAGAAAAGTCATCCAGGATTTTAAATTGTTTGTCCCAGAGGACTGGGTTGGTTCATTCCTAAAGTCTAGCCAAGGGTGTGTGTTGGGAGAAGGGAGGACAAACTGGAAGATCACAGGAAGTATGAGGACAAAATTCACCTCAATAAAACTGGTGCCACATCAGTGAAGTGTGTCGCTACTGGCGAGAGGATGGTAGCTCCATCCTGCTGCAGGGCAGAGCTGGCGCAGGGTTTGTCAGGCATTGCTGTGTCTAAGTCCCYGGGGGAATGCAAGGCGCAGGCTACTATTGCTGTGTTACAGACCACAACCTGAGACCCTGAGGAGCAGCACAGAGTCTTCTGGCCCTTTGTGGCTGGCTTCCTCAGCCCCATTCCTCTGCAGTCACTCCTTCCAGGACCTCATGCCCTGCCACCTTGCAAGGCTCTGGCTTTCCAGACACCAGCTCTTTCCTGCCATCCTGCCTTTGCCTGTGCTGTGCCTGGGGCCTGATGCTCCCCTGGACCCACTCGGGAGCCTCCTACCAACATCTTATGACTCCACTCAAAGTTCAAGAAGCCCCTCCTGGCCCCTAAACTGGGCTGTGTGAGCGACACCCCCCCCCCCGTGCTAGCATAATGTCACAGATGGGCTTCTCTCACTGTACTTGTCCCTCCCATGTTGCAATGATCTATTTTTGTAACTGTGTCCCCGCTGCACTAGGGACTGAGTGAGGAAAGCACTGTGAAGATGCGTATGTGTGTATTCACATCCTGTATAGGAGAGAGGGTGGGGGGAGGACAAGTTCTGTCATGGGGAGGGTGAATGAACGTCCATCGGTTGAACTACACCACCGAATGGCCAGTGAGTGACTGCTGGTGAACTGGAAGTGAATGTGGAAGATGCCCTCCCTGGGATGAGGGGTGACCAGGTCTACCAGCAGGTTTAAGTGGGAGTTCATGGTGGAGTGTTGCACCCAGCTCAGCGGGGAATGCCCAGCCCACCTTTCTGCCCCACCCTTCCTCGGGGTTCTGGGAGATGAGCACCCAGAGGACGTGGAGCGGGAACCCACACACACTGCGTGGTGTGGGGCTGCCCAGTAAACTCCAGGGCAGAGCTCTTGGATGGAGGGAACATCTGGTCCAGGCGGCACATCCAAGGCACTTCTCTCTTAATGCCAGCTGACTGCCATTCACACTGCCACCCACCCTCGGGAGTGGGAGTGAGCCAGCTGGGAGTGAAGCAGGGTAGGGGACAGCACCTGCCCGTTCTGTGGACAGAGCAGACACAGAGGCTCCTCCTTGTCCTGCTACGGGGCCTGAGCACCAGGACAGACCTTGTCATGACAAAGACCCTCCTGGCCATCAACACACCCCTAGGTTTTCTTGAAGTCTGACTCAGATCACCACTGGGGCAGGTGTTCCCAGGGCTCCAACCATGGAAACTCACTGGTGAGGGCCCCCCGGCTGAGCTGGGGAGTCCAAAGCAGCCCCTTGGGTGGACGCTGCCTAGAAGTCCTGGCCAGACCGTCCTTAGGCCCAACCGAAGTCTAGGACACGTCCACCTCCCCGCTTGCTACCTCACCGCAGAATTGCCCGATGGCCCCCGCCTTGCCTGGTGGCGGCAACATTTCTCCTCACAGCTGTTTCCGCAAGCCATGCGCCTCCATCTGGCCTTGGCATATGTATCCAGACTCAGAAACAGACTTTCCTCCCAGTTTTCACCCAGACTTGGTGAGTGGGTGGGTGGACAGTCCCACGTGGCAATGGGCACACCCTCACCCCTGTGGAACTGGAGCTGCAGGTACAGGACACTCAAGTCCCTGCACTTGCCCTTTCTGTGATTGTCCTTGAACCAGATGTTTGTGTTTGGGAGTAAAATTTCTCTGGGCATACCAAAAAGTGTTCATCAAACACTTTATAACAATTGTTTGATGATACTATTATCATTTTTACTATCATAATATAGTGGCAAATTAATAAAAGAGGAAAAAGAGAAAAAATAAGAATAGGGAGGAAGATGTTTAATAGTCTCAATTTTATAAAAATCTTTTAAAAATTTAAAAGATGCATGTAAAAGGTGGGGGTGATGTCATCGAAGGAGTTTTGATCAAAGGCAAATGTATTCTTTTGAAAGAGGAAGATGTTAGTTACCAAAGAAAATAAGCAAAAAAAAAAAAAAAAAATTGGAGAACGAAATTTTGTGGGTAAGATCTCATTTAAGAGAAAAAATAGATAAGAGACTGAAAAACTGTAGAATAGACTGAAAAACTGTATAATATAGTTTTACACATTTTTGTCACCCCAAATGAGGCAAATTAGGATTGTAGTTTGAATTTGTGACAAATGTCTCAATCAGGAAAGAGCACAGTCAGGAAGGAAGTAGGCAACCGAGGCCCAGCAACAGGCGGGTGGTCTGCAGTGCCCAGGAGGGCAGGGCTGGGAAGGGGCTGCAAGGATCTGGGCCTACAGGGAAGACTTTTAGTCTCATGTCAAGTGGGTAGAGTAACTGTCAACCTGCAAACCTCTTGTGCTGTCCACTAACCTGGTCATGAGCAGTGGGGTCCTGTGGCCTTACTCCTCGCTGCCGTGTGCAGGAGGCCCTGGGAAGGGCAGAGTGTACCCGAATACAGGACGGGCAGGAGGAAGCCCCTGATGGATGAGTGGTGCTGACKCTGTGGACCCCCCCACCCAGGTGGAGGGAGGAGAGTGTAAGCCCAGGTGTTTGTGAGCCCTACAGAGACACGAATGATAACACGAGTAGGAGAGCCTCAGACTCCAGCTGGGACCCCACACGGACTTGAAACCGCCACCCTAGCTGCCAAGGAGCTGCTTAGGTGGCCTCAGGCTTGGCTGGTGTGGGCGACTCTGGGAGGAGGAGGGAAGGGTGGTCCTCCCACTGCACCTGCCTGGAAGGGGACAGGGACGCTGCTGTGTGGCAGGAAGTCCCTGCTGCTCCTGGAAATCAGTCAAACCAGGGGCAGTTATCGGTGACTGAAGGGTGTGGAGTGGACCCTCGGGGGAAAGGAGGTTTCCAAAGGGTCTCTTGGCACACCACCCACCCTGTTCTCCACTCAAGCTCCCACCCCACATCCCATGCACATTCCATTCAACCACTGAACTGAATCTAGGGCTCACTGTGGATGTCCGATTTCTGTCGCTCACAAAGCAGCGTTCCCCTAAGTACTCCTGAGCAGGTCAGATGAAGTTCCACAGTGCTCCAGTGTCAGAGCAAGTGATGACTTGCCAACTGGAAACATGGCGTCACACAGCGTCACTCACCAACACGGGGGACCATCAGCGCAGTCAGCAGGAGCACAATCATAGCAGGAGAGCAGGGGCAGGGCTCAGGCAGTGACTGGAACGGCCTCCTGGGGGAGAGGTCAGCAGAATGTGACAAGGACACTTTCAGCAATCCACGAAAGAACACGGGAATTTTGTCCTCTTTGTGCCCCAAGGTGTGTGGCCAAAGGAGAAAGTCCTGACTGGTTTCTGTCCCAGCTTTGCAACACTGACTGGCAGTTTGACAATAAGGAGGCCCCCYTCCCTCTCTGAGCCTCCTTCTGCCATCTGTAAAGTGGAAACAGCCCTGAGCTCCTTGAGGATGCTGCCTGAGCAGCATCCCACTTGTTCACTCACTTATTACGTAATCATTTATTCCAGGCTGGCCATGAGCTAGGCATCAAGGTTCACAGTCCAGGGACGCCAGTGAGGACAGCACCACTCCCACCTGGTGGTCGCCAGCATTCCAAAGACGCCCTGGGCAGGCTGGCTTTGAACTTGCATACCAATGTCACTCCGCTCATGACCATGCATGGCCACGTGGTGGCGCTGCTGGCTAGCAAACGTTTTCCAGCAGCGTCTCCACCTTCCCTCTCCTCTGGGCTCTACAGCATTTGGAATACCTCGTTGCAGTCCTAGGGGCTCTGTATATGTGCCTCCGGGGCTGCTCCGGGGACAGAGGGATGAGGTAGGCAGAATCCAGGAACCCTACTACACTTCAGCTATAGCTGCCTGTACTCAGATCACCATTTCACTTCAAAGGGCAACCATGTATTTAATAAGGATGAAAAAATATAAAGTGAAATAAAACACAAGGATTTTAAAATACTTTTAGCTTCTTGAGAATATGACACCCTAAAGATTGTAAGAGGTTTGGATGATTTGTGTGTGTTCTGCTTTAGATCTTATATTTTAGGACCAAATATGAGAGAGAACACAGCATGATGCATGCTACCCAGGGCTGCCAGATAGGGTTGTACATGGTGAATACTGCACAAAGGGTGCTTGACCTAGGGGTAAACAGGTAAAAAAAAACCAAGCAGCACTCAACTCCCAAGTGTGTCCTTCACAAGGCTGCATCAACCCACAGGAAGGAAGCTTTCTGCAGTGTGTTCTCTCAGGGGCACGGGTTGCTCCATGTCTTAGTGGCCCTGTACCTGCAGCTAGGGCCACAGTGAGTCATTCTGCTTATGAGCAGGGCTCAGTATTGGGAAAGGTGTATGAAGGGAGAGGACACGTGGGCTGTAGGATCACTATTGAGATCCCCTCTGGAGGGGGCACAGTCACTGCTGGATGCACCCAGAAAGCAGCAGTGTGAGTGTCTGGAGTGTCACTTGGTGCAGGCTCTAGCCGTCTGGCTGCTGTCGGGGCACAATGCTCTGCTTTATGAACTTGGGCTACACAAAGTCCTAGGGCCGGTTGATTTTCAAGGTTCAACCTGCTCTCTGGTGGTTCTGCAGAGAAGCAGTTCTGAATGATTCCTTCCCCGGCTAACACCACACTGAAAATGATGGGTGAGACTTGAGAAGTCTTCTGACAGACAGCAGAGTCTGATGGTGAGCTGCAAAAGGTGTTTCAGAGGATCCCAGAGACCCTTTGAAGTCATGCCCATGTGACATGACGGGCCGACATGACTTGAGCAATTGACTCACTACCTGGCACCTGCTGTGTTGGGTCTTCTATTATTCCTATCACACCATGTGAGATAGCTGGGTGTCTGAGCTGGGAAGGGACCTAGGCATTATCTCATCCAAACATTCATTTTACAGAAGGCTGTGAAACATTCATTTCACAGAGGCTCGGAGGCTGACAATTTATGGCAAAAATATCCTGCTTCCCAGGACTCCTGACTCCCAGTCCAGTGCTAATACTTAACAGTCCCCACGAAGGCCTTCGCAGGGCCTGAATAGGTCAGTCCACAGGAGGCACAGGAGCACCTGAGGTTCAAGTTGCTCGAGTGCATTAGGAACTGCACTGACAGCATCCAGCCTTCATGAAATGCTCRACAGACAGCTGCAGGATGGTAACAGGCTCGCGGCCACCAGCTCATGCCCTGCCTGCACAGGAGTCCCCATCTGGGAATAAAGGAGGGGTTGGTGTAGTGCCAGCGACCTCTCTCCCTCTCTTCTTGTGACACTTACTTCAGGGGTGAGCTCACCCAGGTTGTCCTGCAGCTCAGAAAAGATACGGGGCTTTCCCCACCTTTTTATTCAAATGCAATTGAGCAAAGAAACCAGATTATAGATACAACCTCCACCCACTCTAGTTCATTCCTGAAAGTAATTTAAGGGAGGAGGGTAGGAAGTACTGGCTTAATGGGCTCAGAGTTTTGGTTGAGGAAGATCAGAAAGTTCTGGATGTTGGAGACGGCTGCACAGAAATGCTAATGTGCTCCATGCTATTAAACTGCGCACTGAAAGTAGCTAGAATGGTAAATTTTATGCTCCATGTATTTCATTACAATTTTCTAAAAAGGAACTTATCAGCTTTAGGACCTTATTTTTTAATTTATTGAGTCATTCTTTGTTTCAGGCACCCCACCTAGTATGCTCCTTATACTGTCTGAGAACAACTCTGGGACTCTTTCCATCACATGCCTCACTTTCTAGAAAAGGGGCCGGGAGCTGGGAACTTGTCCACCTGCCTTCACCAAGAGGCAAAACTGCCAGAGGGCGCCCRGCCACTGCTGGGCCCAGGCTTCAACCGGAGTGGTCCGATCTGACTTGGGTTCTGCCGGTGGACATTACCCAGTGCATCAGGACAGCCTGGGGTTTGACAGATGGCAACTTGTGGATCACAACTCCCTGGTGAGAACCAAGAAAGGGGAGTCCTGAGGCCAGCTAGAAGGTGGCAGTGTGCAGCCAGCCCCGGGCAGAGTGGGGGCACTAATCTCAGAACATGCACCTGGGGAGGGGGTGGGAGCCTAAGGACTGCGGCTTACAGCTGCATCCTTCAGTTGTTGGTCTAGGCGGGCGGGCTGATGTGGTGCCGTGGAGGTTTTCCCAGGAAAAGCCACCAGCGGCCGCCCACCTGGCCTTGAGTCTCCTCACACAAGGACTCGGGGCGGCTCTGGGTTTCCAGCAACAACCAGGAGTGACGTTGGGGCCTCAGCCCTTGATGCACCCCTCCCTCCCCCTCTCCCTGCATCCACTTCTCCCTCCACCCTCCTCTCCGCACCTCTTTCCTTCCTCCTTCCCTCCCTCTTTCCCGCCCTCCTCTTCCTTTCCCATTATCCTTCCCTTTCTCCCTCCCGTCCAGTCTTTCTCCTGCCCTCCTCCTCCTCCTGCCTCCAGCTGCTCTCACTATCCAGGGAAGCAGGGGCCTACCTTGCTGCRCCCCTCCAAGGCCAGGCTGTTGGACAAGCGATGTTTGGCTCTGAGCCGATGGAGCAGAGCCCTTTATATCCCAGGAAAGACCCCCGGTCGTGGGCCCCCTCCCCTGCCCACATGCAGAAGACAGGCTTTCATGAGCCTCTGCAGGTGGGCTCCTCCGAGGGGGTCACCTAATACTATGGCTTGGCACAGGCGAAGGCCCGCCCCGGCCTCCGGGAGACCTGGGCTCTAATTAGAGAACAATGGCCTCCCTGTTTCCTGCACCAGCCTCACCTCAAAGGTTGAGAGGCTGGGGATCATGTCCCGGTCATCAGGGGAACCCTGGGGCTGAAAGAGATGAAAGCCTCTTGACTCCCACAAGGAAAGGGCTGCCTTTGTCTGGTCTCCCTGTTGCTTCAGCAAGAGGATGGGGGCGACTCTTCTTGCCCTGGCTCTGGGTTCTCTGTGCAAGCTGAGGGCTGAGGGAAATGGGGCTTTCTAAGCAGACACCTTGGGTTGCCGGTCCTGCTTCCGAGTAGTAGCATGGCCTTGAGCTTGCCGCAGCTGAGCCACGGCTGGCTTCCACATTCACTCAATGGATCTTATCCCATCAGAACGGGAGGAGGGACCCTGTGTGGTCTGTCTTGCAACCCCAGCTCCTTCCCCTCCTCCCCAGCCCTTTTGTGAGTGTGCTATTTCCTGATTTTTAACAAGGAGAACAAGCATATTGAGTGTCTAGGATGCACCACAGCGTTCCACAGGCCTTGGCCCTGTCACCCTATAGCCCTGCTGCTCTGTGGTCCCTGGAGGGAGAGGCCGCTGGCTCCTTTTCACAGACAGGAAACGTGATGTCATCAGCCTGAGGCACTGGTCCACGCTCACATGTGACAGATCGTTCTTGGGGATAGCTCAGCCTGGTCAGGGCCTTGTGAGCAGCTCATTCTGCCACTAATGCCTGTAGAAGGTGAAGCCGGGGCTCAGCAGCACATTTACCAAAGACCACAGAGGGGCTTCTTCAAATGAGTAGCTCTCCTGGCACAGGGAAGCTTCTGTTTCTAGGTCACTACTGGTGTGCAGCCACTCAGGGGCGTCGAGGGATGAAACTGCAGTGGCCCTAATCCTCCCTCATTAGCACAGAGGAGTGCCACTCCCAAACTACTAAGTTGATGGGGATACTGGGTTCAGTGTAGCCAAACCCAAGCTTTCTACAATCAAGAGCCCAGCTTCCCACATGATGCTAAAACGCAGTCACAACCTGCTTAGGCTCRCTGTTCTAGACATTTCTCGGGAATTTGAGTTTTCTTCCCATAACCTSTAACAGGTATCTGAGCACTGGGCATTTGGGCAAGATCATTCCTTTCTTCGAGAGCTGTCCTGTGCATTGTGGCGTCATAGGTCACCACCCACTAGATGCCAGTAGCCCTCTCCTCCCTCATCTCCATGAGTTTTGACAACCCAGATGTCTCTAGACATTGCCAAACACTCCTGAGGTTGAAGGCAAATCACCTGATTGACAGTCACTGGTCTCCAACATCCCTGGAACCGTGACTTGACACTCTGTGTTGATGGAATAAGTCAAGATTAAAATTTTCACAAGAACCCGGGGGTAAGAGTAAAAGCAGTGTTCCAAATGAGAGTTCAAGGTTACAGGTTTCATCATGATGGCAGCTGAGTTTCTCACTCACATGGACCAAACCCACAACAAGCGCACCTGTGCAGACATAGGGACACACGCTCAGACTCAGGCAGAGCCACAGCCTGCGGCCAAGAGACACAAGTTCTCCCCACCCCCCTCCTCCTCCTCCTGCCCTTCCTCTCTCCTACCCTTTCCAAATTAGCTTGTCTTTGGGCATGAATGAATGCTGGCATTGCATGTGCAGTTAGACATGGGCCCCTCCACCAGCAGGGGCATGGACCGACATCTCTTTTGTCTCACAGTTAAGCTCTGGTGGCCAGAAACACACAGATTGGATCTGTGGTTCAGTCTCACCCCTGAGACTTCCTTGTCACCTGTCCATCACTTAAGCCAGGATGAATTCAGCTCTGGAGTGCTCAAGCCACCCTTAATCTCCAGACCAGTGAACTGTGCCACTGGTTCACTCTTGGGTCCTGTTTCCTCCAGTATCGTCGTTACTGTGGAAGATGATATGACAGTAGAAACCCTCCACCTTCCCTCTCTGCCTCTCCTCACCTCTCCTTCCCCGCCCCCCCAACATGGTCCACTGAGCCTCTGTCCTTGATGCTAGGTCAGATTCCTGCACAGGCCTCAGAGGGACTCCATATTCAGGGTTTTTAAAGGTTATGGTCATGCTCAGTCATTTCCAAAGAGTAGGGCAGACAAGTCCACCCCAGCTCCCCCACTAGTGGAGAACACTGTTCCTGGGCTCAGACCATCCATCCATCCTTCATCTCCCTGGTGCTGAGTTACTCTGTGGGGAACTGTGGAGTCCTGACAGACAAAGATCCTTAACTTCAGCTTCATCCATCAGAAAGGATCTAATCAAAGTAACCCACACCTAGTGAAAGGGACTGAGTCTTGGTTTACCCAGGTGGGTGTTCCTTTGACCCTTCAAAATTTGTCATGTGCAACATCATCTTTACAAACCAGAAGGCCATTTGCAGCCCCCAAAGTCATGACAACAGGTATGTATGAGCTCAACACATGCATCAATATGAGGGTCTCTCAACTGTTCTGGAGATTTAAAAGGAAGATTTCCATGTGATGKTCAGGGACATTTCTGACTGCCTCTCTCCCCACAGTTACAGTTCTACACCCCCAGWTATTTTGGTCCACAGGCTGCTAGGCACCCAAGAGTCTTCCATGGGGAAACTGCTTTGTATTTGTATTGTGACGGTGACTTTTGTCACCAGGGAGCACCAAGGGAAGTGTGTGTGCAAGTGGGAAGAAGGGGAAGGAAGGAGGGGTGCCGAGCACCCCAGGAGGCATGCTGTCATCAGCCATGAGGGGTGAAGGGTCCCTGCAGAGCCATTGAGAGAGCAAACATGCTCGGTAATGCCCTGCAGAGTCTGGCATCTAGCAGGGAGTTGGAATCTGCAGACCCGGAAACAATGAAAAGGGACCCGATACAATAAAGGGGCCCTTGGTGTGCGGGTGTGCTGCAGGCTGGCTCAGCAGGTGCAGGGACTCACACCTGTACCTTTCACAGGAAGGCCCAGCCCTTGAACAGGGACTCACACCTGTACCTTTCACAGGAAGGCCCAGCCCTTGAACAGATCCTGGGGAATCACTGCTAGACCCCTGGACTATCCTGACACTGTGACTTCACCTGTGGCCACACCACACGGCTTATGTGAGCATGTGCTGTATAGTGGGGGTCTTCTGGAGAGGCCGGAGACGGCATGACAGTCCATGCCCACTGACTGACCTCAGCCAAATCCCTGGATGCCAAGCTCCCAGCCTCCCTGTTGGGCCATCCTCCATGTGGGCCTCCCTTACGGGCAGTCAAGTGCTGGCTGCACAGCCTACCTGGGCAGGAGAACCAGAAGCCCGTACCTGGGCTCCCGTGGAACTGGCTTTACCTGCCTTGTACCTTGGCTGATTTTTATCTGAATCCTTTTGCTGTACAAATGGTMTGTGTGAATCTAAGGGTTTTTCTGAGTTCCATGGTCTTACTAGTAAACCACTGAGCCTGGGGGTGCTCTTGGGAACTCCCACATACAGAGGGGCACACAGAGGAGGAATCAGGATGTCAATTAAAACAATGCCCTGCAACGCCTCCTTTTGTAGGTTCTCACATCTCCTGTTTAGGAACGTGGMGATCATGCAGATTCCACAGTACTGCAAGCCTGCTTAGTTATATGGAACTAAATTTTAGTTAACAATTTAGCAAGAKCGTAGGTGACTCTCTCCGGGATATGGTTTCAGTCTTTCTCAGTTTGGTAATTTTTCTGTCTTCCCAATGTCCTCCATTTAGGTCAGCTCAGGCGTTGTGTCAGCTCAGGCTGGGCCCGTGTGCTCGGACCCTCTCCGTCAGCTTTCCAGCTATCAGGGTGGTTGAGAGCATCACAGGAGCTTCTGGGGCACAGACATTAAGTTCCCTTGGAGGCAGGCAGGTGGGTCTGTCATGACAGCATTAGTCACGAGGCCACCACCTTGACTACCTGACACCAGTTTGCAGGGGAGAAAAAGTGTCACTTCTCCAAAGAACCACATTCAATGCCTGGGTGATCTCGCAGGAGCCCGAGAGCTCTGCGGACGTGGCCAGGCTGGGTGAAGGTCTCGGCCCGAAGACGGGCAGGTTCTCACACTGACTCGCAGATACTCTCGAGGCACTTTTGCTTTAAGGCTGAAAGAACAAGAGTGAGGAACTGGGCACCGAGGTGGGAACACTGCAGAGACATGGGGAAACTCCGACAGCCCGGGTGACCATTTGGGATCTTCCAGAGGGCAAGCAGGGGACAGTGTGCTACGGGGAGGGGGTCCATGTCAGCGTGCAGAGGACCCAGGTGAGACCCCGGCTAGTCAGCAGCCGAGGGGAGGCAGGAGGAGCCTGAGCTGCCCCACATCTGCTCAGGGCTCCTTTCCCAGCACCCAGCTGTTATCTCCCTGGGTTGCCTGACTGTAAACTCGTCGATACATTGTTCAGTAGATGTGATACGTCATGTGCATAGACACTTCAATGTGGCAAGGACAAAAGAAGAGCCACTGAACTATGTATTTCCAAGATGTGTCTCTTTCGGAACCCCTCCCTTCCAGGTTTTGGCTTCTGCTATGCTGCATGAAGGTGGTGGTAGAGAGCTTGTGAGACCAAGAGACCCTGCGAGGCCAAAGGAATGAGGACAGTTTCTAAGAAGTATTGGCAGGGGAAGCCGTTTGATGATGTTATTTAAGGGACACAGGGAAAGTCTGAAAGGCTGAACTCTTTGTTACAGGTAACTCCTGTGAAGACTGGGCCATGTGAGCACCCAGCTTMTACCTGGGTTACATTAAGAAGGGATTTCCCAAAGAGTCTAACACAGCTCCACGATTTTCAGGAAGCCAGAGGCCCTTGACCAGATAGATAGCCTATTAGATGGCGTGATCTGACACCAAATCAGTGGTTTGGGAATCGGACCTACCAGACCAGCCACTTTTGTCTGTAGAAGTGGGAGAAAAAAAACCCAAGTGAGTTCTGTGGGTAATGAGGCTTTGAAGCCATCAGGACGGGGAGAGGAGTTCCACCTTCAGGACGTCATGCAGCCTTCTTTTCCCGTCTTCATGGGTTGGGAATTGCAGTGTTTATCTTTCCTTCCAGTTTTTGTTTGACTTTTGAGCTTACTTACTCAGAGGCTAAGAAACTTGCCTGAGTTCACACACAGGGTAACAGTGCATGTCAGGCTGACTCGGCTTTTGTTTTCTGTACTTTATGACAAACATTAAGCTCTTTGTTGGAAAATCAGAAACAGCTTAGACTCTGTTTTCTAGACCTAATGGATACCGTGTAAGCTACAGCACACCTTTGGCTCCAGGTGACAAGAAGACCTCTCAGGTTCACAGAAGCCTTCCACAGGGTGCAGTGACTGCAAACGTACAGCCTCCTCAAGCTGGGTACTTACTGTGTGAGGACGACACCCTTTTCACCCTCTGGCAGATAAATGTTGCATTCTTCAGAAACCAGGAGTAATATTCCAGACAGTACCTAAAGATTTAAGTCAGAGTTGGGAGCAATCACTATCCTGCCTGGCTACGAGAAGACAGAATCCAAAGAGCAATTACATCACCATGAATGTGTGGCCAACTATTCACAGCAAGGAACCCTCCATCCATCTTTAGAGGATATGGAAGGAAAGGAAGGGAATGGGACAGGGTAGGAAAAAGCTCAGACTTAAGGGCCAGCAAGTCTTACTTTACGTCCTGACTTTCCGATATATAGATGTAAGGCAATAATGAAACCTACACTCACAGGTTTGAGGATTAGATGAGACAGCATATGTAAGGCTCCCAAGCAGTACCTAGTAGGTGCTCAATAAATGACAATGTTTTCTTGTTTGTTTCTGTGGCAGGTGGAGAGGGCAGAGTGCTGCTATTGCTAACAATGCTGGGGTGTCAGCAGGGGCTGTCGTGAAGGGGCCATTGACTGACATTAGGGAGCAGACCTCCGTGCAGCCTGTGTCCGTAGCTCACCCTAGGACCATGGGGTCTACATCTCCTTCAACCCACATCTGACATCTGATGAGCTCGCCTTAACCGTGCTCTGATTTCTCCTCCGCTGCTCTCATTCTGCAACTCTACCGTACTCTTGGGTGCTCAGCAACTAACTTCCCAAGCAAAGTTCACTGTGAGGATTCCCCAGGTGATACCATCCTCCGTTTACAGGAAATGGTAGAAGTGAGCAAATGGAGGCACAGAGAGTTACTGGGTTGCCCAGGGTCACTGCGTTCAAGTGCTAGTGTTGACTTTAGCCTCACAGTCCAATCCAGGACAGAACCCACTGCATTCTCAGGGGACAGCCAATAGGTGAGTCCCGGGGGCAGAATCCAGGTGGCTCCCTAGAGGCCTTTAACACTGGGGACTGGGCATAAAAGGAGGAGAAAGAGCCAACAGGAGAAGGTGAGGCTGCCCCACCTTCCAGGTGTGAAGGGACAGGAGGAAGCATGCAGCTAGAGCAGGAAGGAAGGGCTCTGCAGCAGCTGGGACCATGGAGCTGGGCTGTAGGGAGAGTGCTTTTCCAAAACTGGAACCACAGAGGAGACCAAGCCATTCTAGAAACACTCCCCAAAGCAGAAAGGGCCCAGGGAGAAATTCCATGGCTTCTCCTCGCTCCTGCCCTCCATGTCCTGCCAGTGTCTTCCATTGCCTTAGCCAACAGGAAGCTGGTTGGCAAGGCATTTTGGGAAATGCAGTCTGCACACGTCGGGAACCTTCAGTACAAAGCAGGACAGAGAAGAGGCAGGGCAGAGCACAGAGGCACATGTTGAACACCACAGGGCTCCCTCTTCTCTGAGCATGGGCTCCACATACTCAAGGTGACATTTCAAAAGCAGAAGAGGCAGGATGTCAAGTCTTATCAACTCCACAGGCATTTGGTTACCACGGCTGCAACATGTCTGAGGCACCAGAGGCGGGATCAGAGTGGCTGCAGAGCAGGAAGAGCAGTGAACCAACAGCCATGGCCACATCCACATCCACATCTACGTCCAGGGGCTGGGCAGGGACAGCTTGAGCCATCGTTTCATTTCATTCCATGCTCACAGTACTCGGTCGGTATGGCAAGAGTGCTGCGGCCCTTCTCCGTGAACGGTGCTCTTGGACTTGTGTGACGTGTGTGGAACACAGGCAGCTTGGCCCAAACAAGATAAGCCAAGGTTCAGAGGAATTCAGTGACAATCCCAAGGCCACATAACTTAGAAGTGGTAGAAAGTAAATTTAAACCAGGCCTCCTGGCTTCAACCTGACCTTCCACACAGCACATGAAACGGTGTGGAAGCTTCTAGCATCGGGGCATTTCTGTGGCCTCATCTCACTCCCCCTTGGCTTGTGTGACAATGTGCACAGCAGCAAAACCCTCTAGAAAACTCCCTCCACACCAAGGACACCCAGTGACCCTGGGGAGCAGCTGCTTTAGAGTCGATGTTACTATGTGGACAGCAAGGGGCTGGCGGAGGGGCTCCCTGAAGCTTCACACCACGAGGTGGGGACTTCAGTGGTCACAACTGCAGAGACATGGCCCTCTCTGAGAAGCCCCAAAGCTGCCGTCCAGGCCTGAGTTCACTTTGGCAGAGGAGGTGGCTGGCAAGGAATGAAGGCTTCTTTCCTGGCATTATTTAGACATGACACAGAGCCTTCCTGAGTCCTCGGGAAAGCATCCCCCAGTTAGCAAACAAGGCAAGGCGACAATGGATGAATAGTGTGGCTGTTGCTGCATAAAGAAGGAGGTCAGCGTTGCCTTCATGACACGACGAGTGCTCCTCACGGAGGCTAGAGCAGCGTTTCTCACGTAGAAAAGGCTGGACGCTCTTCCAAGAAAACCCGCTGTGGAGGAGTCCTCTGGTGTCTGTCTCCAGCGGCATTGCCAGGAGCAGAAGGAGCTGGGACCGTGTGGAAGCCCCTGCTGTGTACACTTCCTCACGTAAGACCAGACCCTGGCTCCATGTGGAGGTGCAGCAGCCTGGAAAGGGCAGGAGCCCCAGAATCCCGCCTGGCACCCAAGGCACCAGAGTTCATAGGCATCAGGAGGGAAAGGAACCGGGCTTTGTCACCCTCGAAGGGAACAGTGTGTCCCCAGGAAGGTGCTAGGGACTCTAAATAGGAAACATTTCAAAAGAGGACTACGGAAGGAGACGATGTGGGAGGAGGGACGTTTAGGGAACCAGAGTTCAAGGATGGACAGAATGAAGGGCTGGACTTGAACCTCGGCCCGATTTACATTGGATGTTCWGTGTGTTTGGATGTTCTATATGTTTCTGAATGGTAGACAATGGGAGGTGTGGAGGGGCATCTGGAGCTCTGTGACAGGCAAAGGGAACTTGTTAGTGAAAGGCCATCCAGGTGCCTGCAAGGCAAGGCCACCTGAGTGGAGGCCTGTGGGACACAGTGGCTGCCATTGCTGCTGCAGCGCTGTTGACCACCCCAGTGCCCCCAGAGGGCCCCGCTGCCTTCCACCCCGTCTTCGCACAGCCCACGCATTTTCCTTCTAGTGGCCTCTCCCATTTTTGGCCTGGAAAACTCCTACTCCTCCATTGAACCCTGTCACTTATCTCCTCGGGGCTCCCCGGCATGTGATGCAGGGTCTGCCACGCACTTGTCACTCTGGTGTGGAACTGGTCTCTTTCTACTGCCAACTTCGTCACCAGTCCTGCTGTTTCTTAATCTCAGAGGCTCTTATTGTGCCAACATACTGACTGACACCCCTCGCTCTGGTGATTGACACCCCTCGATCTGCCACCTGGTGTTCTTGTCCCACCTTCCACACTCCATGCGGGTCTACGGAACAACTCACACTTCAGGGAAAAGAGGGGAGAGCTCAGGTTAACAGTGGCTTCATGGCTGTGAGTTTAAACTCAAAACTTCTGACTTCCCCACCTGTTCCTTCAGCCAATCTCTGGGTGTTTCCAAGTGTCATGTTTTCCAAGGAGATGTGACTGCAGGGTTTTGCTTGGACACATGACTTGGTTCTATACCAACTATCTTATAATTTGTGTTTATGACCATTTCTTCCTCCTAACCATGCGATCTTCAGGTTCTGGGCCTATTTCTGATCCACCGCCATAGCCTGGGCTTAGCCCATGGCACAGTGGATACGTTGTAGAGATGCAAAATGCATTATTGATTTAAAAAGAGCAACTGAGAAGGACCCAATAGAGAGCAGATCCCAGGTGATGCAGAATGCTCTGCTTTGTAGTTTCCCTCTTCCTGAGGCTTGGCCTTGGCTGAGGAGACATGCCCAGCATTGCATGCTCACACCCTTGAGTCTCTGGGTCTTCCTCATTACTTTCTCTGGATGGAGGAAGCAGCCAACCAATGAGGGATCCAAGTTCAAGGCCAGAAAGGGGTGACAGGAAAGGACTAAAAACATGGACTTGGGACTTGGTCCTGGCAGATGATGGAGATCTGAAAACCTGGAGGATCTTGTGAGCAGACCTGGAACATAACATTAAAGATCCGAGAAGCTGGTCTCCAGGCCCCTGGAGCAGGAGTATCCATCTCTGTAACTGGTTCTGAATGTCTAGTCAAAAATAAGTCCCAAATGACAGGACAGTAGGTCAGTATTGAAGGGTAGGGAAGTGTCCATGCCTGAACCTACTTAACTTAAAATGTAGTTTGAATTCTAATTTTATTTTTACAAGCTTCTAATTCCACTGGCAGGTGACTGCTAGGGATTTGTGGGAGTGGATAGATAGACCTGTGCTTTGGTTACTCTCTCCTAGAAAGTTTGCTCAGGCTGAGAACATTGGGTTCAAGGACCACTCAAAGTCCTCAGCAGTAATGCTGCTGGGCACACGGCACCTCTCTCAGCTCACCTCAGCCCAGCCCAGCTCACCTCGACGCAGCTCAATCCCCGCTCAGCTCACGTGCACTTACTCTGTCCAATAAGTACATCCCTGAATCTGTCCAGCCCTGGACCTGGTTTTGGGGACCCAGAAATTAATGAGGTCCCATCATGGCTCCCAAGGAAGTGACAGTCTAGTAGAGGACACATAAAAGATCCCCTTCCTTGAGGTCCCCTCGTCACCTGTCTTTGGGTTATTTAATGCCTGGAAACCTTGTGGCCTGCAGAGAAGCCACACAGAATAAGCAGCTTATAAATACTAAATATGTAAAGAAGCCGCTGGTTACCTCATGGTCTCTGTCCTGGGGTTCCTCTGGCTCACACAGAGGCATTGCTGGAAGAAGCGGCACAATTCCATCAGGCAAGGGTTGAGCTTCTGGGTGGCCAGGGTGAGAGGGGCAGCCGTCATGGCCCCCTGTTTGAGGAGCGGCTGCGGACACCCTAGAAGATGAATCTCAGACCAGTCAAGTCAACAAGAGTTTAGCCAGCACCTTCCCCTGGTGGGGACCTGTGTCAGGAGAACACAATTCTGCCCTGATCCTGTGGCTCAGAGACAGGCAGTAACCACGGTACAGCTTCACCGCCCAGTAAAGCTACTGTGAAAATATCAAGGTATAGAAAGAGAGAAGGTGGTGATCGACCTCCTGGAGGAAATCAGAAGGGGTTTAGCTGAGGAGCAAATGTTTAATAGGCATGCATCAGAGGGAGGGCATTCCTGGGGCAGGGGATGGGGTCCATGATGGTTGAGCATCGGGTAAGGGGGTGACTTGCTCAGGGGAGATGGAGAGTCATTTGAGGACGGGGGCTTAGAGTGTGTGTATCTGTGCCTGCCTGTGTGCAAGGAGGATGAAAAGCCAGGCTGAAAGGTGAATGAGGCAACCTGGATCCCCGAGAACAGGGCTCTGGGTTGTGAGTCCTCTTCCTCCAGAGGCTGAAGATTAATTATGTTTAGTGATCCAGATTTTCATTATTACTTAATATGTGGCTTTTATAAAGAGTCAAATAATAACAGGATAAGAAAATAGTTTTTTTTTTTAGATGGATGGCTATAGATAGATGGATAAATGATGGATAGAGTGATATCGATCAGATATATAGCTCATATATAGAAAATTGCTGAATATAGATAATTCAGAAATTAGTGGATACAGATAGATGACTACGGAGGGACTGGTGGGTGGGTGAGTGGAGGGGTAGATGGGTGGCCACGTAGAGATTGCTATGTGGCTCCATGCACAGACATGGATATAGAGGCGGCTTGTGTCCTAGAACTTGATCTGATGAGCAGCCCTGTCTGCACCACCAGTGAGGAGCTTCTTTAGAACTCCTGGGGGGAGGGGAGGTCACTTCCTGTGGTGGCAATCACACCTTTGTCTGAAAGGCTCATTCACCAGGTAGGAGGGGCTGAGGCAGAGCTGGGGAGATAGGAAAATGAGACTATTCAGGTCCCAAGGATTTAATGGCCTTCTGTTGACATACGAGTGAAGGGTGCCAGAATGCTCGCAGAACTAGGGTAGAAAGGTATCTGGGAGTGAGGGGCGCCTGATCCATCCAGCTTTCAAGGGCTCATTCTATACCAGTTTCTCCCAGAAACCAGCACAACAGAGGAGAGGGAGACGTCTAGCAAAAGCTGGAAGAATCAGCAAAACCACTGAAAATCAGTCTTTGGAATTCTGAAAACTACTTCAGGTCCAGCGAACGGTTCTTTCCTCACCCCGTGAGAACCAAGTGTGCTGGGGGTGGGGGTGGGGGGGTAGGCAGGGTGTCCTTCAGAACAGAGAAGTAAATGGCCACCCAGTGAATGGCACTCCCCTCTCTGTCAACACCACACTTATCATAAGAGCACCTTCCCTTTGCAAGGTACCCAGCTCACTGCTCCACAGATGTTCCCTCAAAGACTGTTAACTTAGCTAAGTCACTCAGCACTCTAGGGTTCCAATGCACTCACACACATTATCTCAATGCAAAATCTTGTAGGAAAGAAAAACCAGACACAATAATAGGAACTTTTTTTATGCTATATAGTAGAGGAAACTGAATCCTGGAAGTTGAGCTTGGGTTTGAATGCCAGCACTCTAGGTCTAAAGTTATCCAACAAACCTCCTTTTATTATACTTCCCAACCCTGTCTGAAAGAAACACAAGCCTAGCAAGCAGGGGGTGCTGCTACTCACTTGAGACTTGATGGGGTACTGGGATTAGGGCTGGTTCTTCTCCAGGAGCAAATGGCCACTCTGCAGGGACATCACCTGCATGGGGCAAGAATAGTCTTCCAAAAATGAAAATGAAGTTGCCTTGGGTTATACCACAACCAGAGAATCAAAGTCCCTTCAGGATAAAGAGTTCTGGAAACCCACAGAAAATCATAGCCAAGGGGAAGTGATTTATTCAGGATCACCTGGCAACTTAGCAGCACACAAGACTTACAAACCAGTTCTCCTGCCTCTTTCCTGTGAGAACCAGTGAAGTACCATAACCAGCATCCTCTGAGTACTGGCACTCTGTCCCTGGGGTTCTGCCCCATGCAGTCCTTCCCCGCCGTGGTACAGGGTTTCTTTTCCCACCTGTGTGTTCTCACCTGTCTGTGGGTCTTTGGGGGCTGGTGCCTTGGTTGGCCTTGGCGTCTGTGTGCCAGGGGTGACCGTTCCTGGGATGAGAGGAGAGAGGGTGAGCCTGCATCTTTTCAAGGGGACCTGATTTGGAGAAGATGCCCCATGCCACCAGTCCTGCCCTATCCAACCAACACTGGTTATTAAGCCAGGTACCAAGCAGGATGTTGAGGCTGCAGAAGTGAGTCAAGAAATGGAGCCCTCCATGGCGGTGCTCCAGGTACTTACAAGGGAACAGGCAAGTGCTGTCAGTAACTRTGGTACCATGTGATGGGGGCCCTTGGGAAAAAGTTAATAGTGGTAAGATCAGGTGACACTGCTTGGGGAATGATGGTGTTGAACAGGAAGTGTGCAAGCGTGGGAGCTCTGGGCAAACAGGAAATGGTACGCTTCTCATTCACCTGCGCCTTGGGGTACTCCATCCGCACCCCAATAAACTGCCTGTCAATCATTGTCATGATGGAGCATGGGCTCAGCTCAACAGTTCTTTTCATCATGTCCTTGGTTTAAGGACTGCTACAGGACCTGGTTCTTGCTGCCTGGAGCTGGCCTCTGGCACAAGAAGCACAGCAGCCTCCTTCTAAGGGAAGAAGGAGAAGATGCAACAGGAAGTTTCACTCATGCATGAAGGGGAAGAAGGGGGAGGTTCCAGCACAGTCAGTGGGCCCCCAATTCAGCTGGGGCAGGTGACGTGGACCAAGACCACGGGTACAAGGCTAGTGAGAAGCACAGGCTTCCCCGGGAGAGCAGGGAGCTTGTGCAAAGACCTCGAGGAGTGGGTGGCAAGCAGTTCTCTGTGGCTGATCCAGAGGGAGGAGGTGGAGGGGAGATGAGGCTATGAAGCAGGCAGGYGCAGAGCCCAGCTCTTACCACAGAGTGGCACAGCTGCTGTGCTCTGTCATGCTCCTTGGCAAGGACAGAACACTTCAGGGTGGGATTCCACAGGACTGTGTTCAYGCCAGAGATGAGTGCTGTGAGCCATTCACACACAGATGATTGTGGGAAGGAGCCCCAACTCTACAGGGCCATCCTGCCAGTTTCTAAGGTGGGTGAGAATCTGCTCCTGATTTTGTGTAGGCCTCAGACTGTAACCCCTAACACAGAGGGTGTCCGTTAGCTGCCTTGATTGCTTCTATGTAGTTCTAGATTAGCCTTAGCTGTACSACATACGATGGCTGCTTGCAGTGTGACTGACTGGTTGCAGAATCGTGGAGAATTGGAGTAAAGTGGACCTGGGGCAGAAGCAAACACAAACGCATGCTCCCCTCTGGAGGGCTTGTGTCTCCTATAGCTGCCCTCAGTGCCCTGCTGCAGGAGGGCTCAGGCAGAGCAGTGGCACCAACTGAGTGCTTTCCAGGTGCCATTCACTGAACTGAACACCCTGCAGACATCACCTAATTGAACCCACACAAGAGCTCTTACAGCTCCCATTTCATCAGTGGGGAACAAGGACTCAGATGGTGAAGGAAGGTGCCCGGACACAGTTTGAGTGTGAGGTCCACTCCAGCCCAGGCCGTCTGAAGCTGAGAGCCTAGTGCAGAGCTCCACAGCACCACGTCCAGCTGACTAGACCAGAGTGTGTCAGCTTCCAATTTCCCCTGAAATAGCACAATGCTTGAACAGACCAAGATGGTGCCCTGGTGTCAGGTGGTCATAGATTAAAGCCATTGAAAGGGCATCTCTCGACCTGTGAGTGCCATTGTCATTTTGAGCTTGCAGTTGAGATATTGAATCTATATGACTGTGAACATTCATTACTCCTCTTGCTGCATTCCTGCACAAATTCAGTAGTTTGACAAACTGACTGAGTGGCTGTTGCGCTTCACAGGAGCCTTCACAGCCTCCCAGGAGGCAGAGCCCAGAGGGAGGAAAGTCCAGCTGATGGACCCCAGGATCATAGCCTCCATGTGTGTTATGATCCACTGACTGTGGGAGCCTGGGGCACGCAGGGGCGGGGGCTCTCAGCCATGCTGCAAGCAGCAGAGGCAGTTATTTTTAAGGGAATGATTTTTTATCTGACTATAGGAGTATAAAGTATGGAAAATTCATGAAACTGGAGTGAAGGAAACCAAAATCAGAGGGACTCTACTTCCCAGCTATAATCTGGGAACACTAAAGTTAGGTTCAAGGTTAACAAGTTGTGAATTTCTTTTTAGTTCTAGCTTTGCTTTCTATTCTCTGTGTCTACTTATTCCACATCTACACTACACTGTCACACTTGACAATGTTTCTCCTGCATTTTAGAGTTCAAGTGTTCCTCATTACATGATTATACATGAATGCATACATTTACACAGGCAATTAATAGGCATGTTACATTACATTGCATATACATGATATATAAGTAATTAATGTAATAATGATCATATTATGCCAAAAAGTCAGTTCATCCCTGTCCTGAGTGAACAGTGTCAATTTCTAGTGGTTACTTGTTTAGTAGTGAAACAAGAAAAAAAAATAGAAAGTGAATTTACATAAAAGAGAGAGAAGAGGGGGATCCCCATGAAGAGGGAGCATTCATTCAAAGATGAGAAGGAAAGAGTGGGGTAAGGCGAAGCAGGARAAACAAGAATCGACCTCATGGTCAAACCAAGTATTGCTCCCCTGGGTTTGACTTTTTCTGTATGTGTTATAGTTCAAAAATTTAAATAGGTTTTCAAGACAGACAATGCTGAGTGTCACTGGAAAGGGGAGGGGTGGAGTGAGTCTCTCTCTTACCTGAGGTGGGGCTGGGCTGGGCTGGGCTGCTGGGCGTGGACATGGCCCCAGTAGGACCTGGGAGACTCTCTGTGTCAGCGGCCCCTGCAGCTTCGGCAGATGTGGGTGTGGAGGAGGGTGTCTCCCAGGGGGGACCCCCAGGTGTTGTCTCATCCTGGGTCTGAGCCCTGGGCGTGGACAGCGTGGGAGCCCAGGTCTGTCTGTTGGTTGTCACCCATTGTGTTCCAGCCACTGTCCTGGTAGCTGCACATTCAAAGTGACTGTCACAGGGGATGGATGCATTCAACCTCTTTGATTTATATAAAATTGCAGAGGCGTGGGGTTGCTGTCAGAGGGCAAACACAGGCGTGGGCATAACATGGACATTCTAGGCGTCCTGCACTCTGCGCTGAAGCCCATGGACCAGAGGGAACTTTGTTTGCCAAGCAGAAGATAAAGAGAACTCCTCCAGGTCCCTGGGCTCTCAGCCAGCAAGGGTGTGTTTGGGGGTCGGTGGGCTCTGTCTCAAGTTTAAGGAGCTTATTTCTCATCCTGTGACCTGGCGAGAGACTGAAGGACTTGAGGGGAATAGACCTGGAGGCAAGGTTGAGCCCCTGCCTCCTCCAGGCTGTGAATTGGGGTAACTTCCTTAACTCTTTAGCCTTATCTTTATGATGGGATGAGAAGAATAATAACAATAACAATCGTGGTCACAATTCCTGTCCTCAACATCACAGGATCATCATTAGATTTGTTCAGACAAATCTTCCCTAACCGACCTTTTAAAAAATTGTTAAGTGTTCTCACCTGCTCATTCTTTATGGTAAAAATTCTAGATTTTTCTTCCCAGTTATGCAAAACTAATCTTATTAAAGAATTTGATATCTATGAGTTAAATTGGGAACAGTTGGCATCTTTGAAATATTCAGATTTCCACCTGAAATGTGGGACATCCCTCTCTGTATTTAAATATCTCTTTATTACTTTCATTAAAGTTTGTAGTTTTTCCTATATAAAGCCAGAACTTTTTCTTTAAGGGTTATGACTTTTCTTGCCTCTAGAAACCACAGTTTTTCATATTATACTRGAAACATTTCTAATTTGAAGTCATTGTCATGATGATACTAGGTATTGTGTGAACCATTTATGGTAAATAAAGACACTCTCTAGTTGGGAGGGTTGATTCCTTCTCCTCTCCACCTCCAGTCCTCCCTGTTTCCTTATCTGCCTGCCACCTGTCCATCCCCTCCTCCCTGGGCAGCCTGTGTCTCCTGCTGTGCGGGGTGGTGGCACAGCCTCACTGGCTTGGTCATTTCTTGTCATTTCCCTGCCCRTGTCTCCCTCCCCGGCCTGGGAGCTCAGGGAGGAGCAGGAACACGGGTAGAGCCTCTGTCAACACTTGACCTATGTCTGGAAGCAGATGCATGTTTTGATGAGGGAGTGAGTGGATGCGGAGGGCTCGGGGCCATTGGTGGACAGACAACAGTGACTCTTAATGAGAGAGAAGACTCAGCTCAGAATTATTTCCAAGTAGGACATGATGGGGAAGCAGGCACTTTGAGTGGCCGGTGACAACACTGCTGACTGTGTGCTCCATAGGAGGGGAGGGCGGGGTCCTGGCGAGCCCCTGGGAGCAGCTTTCCATGCTGCTGTGTGGTCACTAACGTGTTGGGTAGCCAGTGGCAGACGGACCCACCGTGGCATAAGATGCTGACTCGTTTCACTTCCTGTGACTTGCCAGAGACAGCACTAGGTGCTGGGCTGAAGTGATAACGCTGTGCCACAGTGAGCCACGAGCGTGGGAGACATGGCCCTGGGGAGGCTGGGTGAAGGGTGTCAGGAAACTCATGGACCTTTTTCRCAACTTCTTGTTAGAAGCGTCCATGTTAGCGGTCCACTGGGCCACTGACATGGCTGCCTCTGCTTGTCCTCATGGTCCCTCCACTGGCTCATAGACATCTCTTATTTCAAGGAAGCTGGAGCCTGGTGTCAGGGGGCAGACAGGGACAAAGGTGTGGCTCCTTCCTGTGGGCCTGGAGGGGCCAGGAGGGAGAAGCAGAGCACAGGGTGAGATCACATCTTACCTGAGCCTGGGTGGCTGGCGGAGGCCCTGCTGGCTGTGGCCGTGGTCCCTGCAGGAGGCCCAGGGAGCCTGCCTGTGCTCCCTGCTGCCTCTCCCTCTGAAGGGGCAGTCGTCTCCCTGGGCGGGGAGGCGCTCAGGGCAGAAGCCGGGTGTGTGCGGTGGGCCCAGTGCGGGGGGCCTGTCCTTGGCAGGCCTTGCTGGCTTTGGGTTGTGGGCTCTGAAATCCCAGCTGCTTCCCTGGTAGCTGCAGCACCTTTGGGGAGAAGGTCAATGGCAGCTTTGATAACTTTGATCCTTTGGACACAAAGAATTGCTGAATCACTGAAAGATCATCAGACAGCAGATATGTAGAAAGAATAAAGATCTCAAGCTCATTCCCAACAGTACCACGTGAAAGGTCAGTCTCCAAAAAAGCTGCATGATGAATCACTGCCGTGCACACGCCTCAGACCACAAAGGTCTTGACATTTAACCCGTCTCTTGATCAGTCGCCAAATCTATTCAGTGTCCTCAGTTACCYCGTGGTTCCAGGACTTGTCCTGGATGAGGGATTGGTCTCCTTGACATGCTCTGTGCGTATAACTAGGAACCAGAGGTGGAATTTGGGAAAATCAGGGGCTTTCTGGCAGAAATAGCTGGAAAAATGAGCCCCCCCAAAAGATAGACTTTGATTGAAAAATGATCCCCCCAAAAGGCAGATTTTGGAGAGAAATTTACTCAGTGCTGCTGTTTGTCCCATGAGGAAAAGGTGAAAGAGCCTCCGGTGTTCATTCCACCTGACCTCCCGAGGAAGGCTTGCTTGTGCAAGTGGGCATATGGCCTGGGTTGGGCATATAGGCCAGTGACTCCCACTGGCCTATAGAGTCACCTGCTCTGGGTGGACAAAGACTGGTGTTGGATTTTGGTCCCCACTTGTCCCTTTGGCAGGTAGCTGTGTGTAGGGAACAACTGACCCAAMAGCAGGAGTTACGCCTGCAGTCTCATGACCTCTGTCTGCTTTGCTCTGGGCCCACAGACACCCCACAGGAAACCCCAGCCTAAGCCTCGCTCCATGTTGGACATGGGCTAAGTGCACCCCCGCCAAACTATCACCTGGACAGACCACCAGCCACCAGGCACATTAACCTTAGTGTCCAGTTGTAAGTATGKTCCTTCTTCCTGGGCGCATGTCCTTAAAGCAACACCAAAGGGGAGACATCATTGAAATTGGGGGTGGGAAAGTCATGGAAAGACTGAATAAATGAGATTCACTCAGTCCTCTGATCTGTCCTCARAATTGGGTGGGTAAAGGCAACCCACTAAATGCCCATTTTAACTTCTTACCCAGAGTCTTGTCCCATTAACAAATGAAGCCCCTCCACAGGATAATCAAGAGATGCCCCAAGATAAACACAAGTCACCGTAACCCACTGAAATAGAATTGGGGAACTGAATTGCTGGGTCCTTCATTTGACTCCACGAGACACTGATGAAGGGCATGCTGTGTGCAAGCATCTCTGCGAGGAACAGAAGGGGAAGGCAGACCAAGGAGACTCTCTCTGCCCTGGAGTGTCACCATGGAGGAGGCACACCTGTCAATGGCACTGTGATGCCACCTGGAGTATCAGTCCAGATGATGTGCAGAATGGTGTTCTAGGGCCACAGGATGCAGAAGACTGATTTTGACTGGGGATCCTTGGGCAAGAGGAGGCAAGTGCTGGCAGTTGACAGGCACACAGGGTTCTACAGCATGGTGAAATAGGGAGGAGCTGCGACACATCGCAGCATGAGCCAAAGGCACAGAAGGCATGAGCTGCTCGCCGCCTGCAAGAAGGGCAGTGGTTCCAATGTGTGGTAGCAGAGGACTTATGGGAAAGGGAGGAGGAGACGAGGGTGGGCATGAGGGCAGAGGACGCTTCTCCAGGCTAAGGGCCTGGACCCTCTGGGGCTGCCTGGAGTTCTGACATCGAGGGGACCTCACCCACGTTGTGCTGGAAGACCATTGCCCTTGGCAGGAATGGATATTTAGAGACACCGGGGATATGACAAGGAGCACTTGTTCAGAGGCTATTCCGAGCCCAGATTCTCACGCAACAGCCGGGAATCTCAGAGGCCTGGGGAGGTTTCAGCACTTCATTCAGCAGAAACGCCAGTTACATGGAGGGGAGAGAGAGGGGACTTAAAGGCGGTTCCAAAAGTGCCACCTGGTGACAGGGAATGGACAGGAAGGTGGGCACGTKGGGGTGCAGAGGATGGGTGGCTGGAGGATGTGCATTAGAGAGTGACAATGTCTCTAGATCTGGGCCCCAAACGAAAACATCTTAAAAGCCAAATAGTTGATGTAAGAAAACTTGTGAAGGCAATAGCGGGCAGAGGGAACTCTGGGAAATGGGAGAACAGTCCCCTCCTAAAGGGGCATGGGTACAGCTGCCACTCAGCTCTGGTTGTTTTTTGCCATGGGAAGAATCCACAGCTGCCAGAACGTCTTTTGCAACATATTCCAGAAAATGATTTTCAGTGGTGAGATCATCTGATTTTTAACACAGGAGCTAAATAAAATGCCCCAGGACCGCATTTGTTCTCCAGTTCAGCGGTGGTCTCCACGGTAGGCTTTTGGGGTTGTACTCACCCAGAACTCCAGACAGGCTGCTGGTAAAYGTGTAGTTGATCACGGGGGCTTTCTCCACCATCTCCCAGAAGTCAGAGAGATTCCGCCCTGCAAAGGTCACACCCATAGGAGGAAATCCTGGGCTGTCCCCTGGAGACCTGTGCTTATTGCGCAGTCCAGAGAGCTGGCAAGGGCACCGCGGCTCACCTGACTCTCCGGCCATCACGCAGATGAAGAGGCAGTCGGATTCATTGGTCTGACTCACTGTAAAATGAACCAGCACAGGACGGGTCAGCAAGGGGTCTGCAGCTGTACGTCTAGTTGAAATAAAATTTGAGCTGGAAGTACCTAGCTCAGGACGAGATAGGGGAGTAAAACTAACTCCTTATAGGGCAGCTCTGATTTTCTGATTTACTTTTGTTTGTTTGCTTGGTGGGGCTGAGGAGGCAGGAGATGGTGCAGTACAATGTAGTGGCTAAGAGCACAGTTGGGTGGCAGGGGTCAGCTTCCAGGGTACAGTATCAACTCAGCCACTTACTAGCTATGCACTCTACAAATGACTGAACTTCTTGACTTCTCCAGGACTCAGTTCACTCACCTTTACAAGGGAAAAAATTCAAATTCCATAATCTTTTTTTTTTTTGTAATTCCCCAATCCCCAGATCTCRTAAAGTAGAAAGTTTTGTATGACCTTGATGGTAAAACCTGACTTGACAGATGTGAGATTGTATAGTCTTTACCTATTCCACTTGGTGCAAGGGTCAAACATTTTGCTGAATGAACATTGATGTGTTTGATCACCACAGGCTTTCCTGGATAGGGGTATTATGTATCAGTATGGTGTAGTCTCTCYATGAGACCTTCAAAATCTGAAAACTTCTGAATTCCTAAGTATACTTGTTCCTGGGGTCGCTGCTTAAGGGACAGAGGACATGTGGTTGCATGCTGCTTAGAGGATTGTTGTGAAGACCCAACGAGGTGATGTGTGAAGTCCTGACTATGGTGCCTGGCAGAGAGAGGAGGCTTGTCCTTAGCCAGGGTGACRACGACAGCTGTGTTGATGTGTTATTAGCATCATGTGCAACGGCATAGTGACCAAAACACAGGCCAAGAGCCAGATTGCCTGGGTAGAATTCTGTCTCCGTAGAGTGGTCCTGGGCCAACTGCTCAGCCTCTGTACGCCACAGCACAGTTTCCTTGCTAAAGTGGGGTTACACGCAGTAGCTACCCCATGAGGTTGTAGTGAGGATCCAGTGAGAGGAGGRTGTAGAAGGTGTTGGGAGAGCCGCTGGCACCTAATGACATCTACTGAGATTTTCCCCTTCTCCCTCCCTCCTGCCTGCTCAGCTGCAGCTGCCCTGTAGATCACCATATCACCAGGCTGCCGAGACCAGCTGCTGGGCTGACATCCAGATCTGTGCCTTTCAAAGTGGATTCCGGTGGAGTGTGATTTGCTTGGGGGATTCACAAAGCCACCTCCTAAATGAGGCATGTCTTTCTTAATTGCTTTTAAAACATGGACTTAGGCTCCATGTGGATCTAGATCTGAATTCTGGCATCAACATGAAGCAAGATATTCAACCTCCTTGGGTCTCAGCTTTTTCTCATCTTTGAAAGTGGAGGACAGCTGTCYACCAGAAGCTGTTTTCTGGAATCTGCCGAGATTCTCCTAACTTTGAGCCTTGAATTTGTTTTCCAATTTCTGGGCCCCAAGAACAGTTCTGATTGAAGAAGGAGCTGCCCAGTGCTGGTATCAGAAATCGGAACGTGAGGATGATCTCAGTGAGGCTCACATGAAGGTTCACAGCAGCCAGACCCATGGCAGGGGAGCACGGGAGACCTGTGAAGCCTGTTTATGCCCCAGGATGGGTGCCAACCTTGTGCTTGCCAGGAACCATCAAATAAACCCACCTGAGAGGATGGAGGTTGACTTAAAGATCTCAGTGAGGTAGCTGGTAGAATTTCCAATGATGTCCACCAGGAGGGCTGTGAAATCTGCAAAATGGGTTTAGGAGGCTTAAATTTAACCATTCAAAGATTTAGGGGAAAACAGACTGTATTTGGATTTTTCAGAAAAAAATTTCAAGTTTGATATATTCAATGTAGTAAGTAATATTAATAATCATAGAGAGAAAAATTACTAATCATGAAGAAATCCATAAAGGGTCAATTATTTACAAGCAGAAAACTTGGKTAAAATTTTGTTATAATCCCCTTTCTCCTTCCATTGCCCTCTCCCCACCGGTTTCTCTGCTAGTAGCAAAGAGATATGAAAAGCTACATCATAGAATAATGGYTTTCTGGGTTTTCCCTCATTATTTCATCTAATTGTTTCAGAGTATCCAATCCCTCTGATGTAAAGCAGACCCATAGATATGTAGTGCAGATTTTCATAATTTTAGAATTTGAATATTCAATATCAAACTTAGTGGTGGGGTTACAAACCACAGGTTGTCAACAGAGATGAAGCACTTTATAAAGTATCCTTTATAAAGAACCTCTCCTTCTGTCCACTTGGCTAAGAGGGAAGATGGGGGTAGACTGGGAGATTTTCACAATAATCCAGGTAATAGAATCATTGAGAACTTTTTTGGGGGGCAAGATTTGAACAGGAGCATTGGTTGGCATGTTGGCACCATTGGTCAATAAAAGTTCTTTCCATGCTCCTTGTTAAACAGCTGCTACCTCCATTCATTCGTAGCTTTCCAGGACCCAACAAGTTGGCACTTTAAATGAGAAAGTCCTGCTATAGGAGCTTCAGACAGTGATTTTCTAGAGGAAGTTTCTTGGGTGAAGCATGATTTCCTACCAGACCTTGCACAAAAGTGTTTTTCACTAAGTAATGGGATGATGAGTTTGGACAGGAGCAAGCTGACTAGAAAACACAAAACTCATATATTCAAGGAAATGTCACATGACAATCCATGGTTGGTTGGTGCACCAAGAGGAAGTGGGCATCCCTATGTGGGAGCCAGAGCCAGAACGTATTCTACTACATCCACATGATTAGTTTCCCGGAGCAAAGGGTGGTAATGAACCTTTGCAGATGTAGACACCTGTCCATGCAGCAAATTGGTAAACCTGGGAATGTTCCTTTCTACATCATATACAGAAACTGAAGAAGGCTGAGTCTCTCATTACTTACTCCATCTATTTCCCAAAATTCTTCTTTGTTTATCAATTCATTTATTTAATAAATATTCATTGAGTCTTTGCAGTGTGTCAAGCACCTGCTAGGTACTGAARAGTTTTGTAAAACATACAGAAAAAGCTGAAGTTAGAGTGTAACAGACTCAGAAAGAGGACAGTGACRTGCCAGGTTGGGAGGCACTAGGAATAATGCACAGAAGCTGTGTGCACGGCTCTGGAGCCAGACACCAATGATGGGGCCAGTTTCTTCCCAAGGCTCAGAGGGTAGATGGGATTTCCCAAGGTCTGACAGTATGTGGCAAAGCCTGGATTTTAGCTGAGGTCTGCCTTGGGCCAGAGCTTCCCCTCTTCCCCGTATTCCCACCTCCATTCATGCAGCCTCTTACTCAACTCCTCAGCCAACTGCCCCTTTAGAATCCCTTCCACACTCTATTAGCAGCTTGGAGGAGAAACTGTTATTAGTACTTCCAAAATCTTCTTTGTTTTAATGAAAATTTTATTATCTAGTTTACTAAAAATGCTCACAGAGAAATTATTTCTGACTTCATTCATGTATAAATAGAAGGTAGGTAAAAATCCTTTTTATCTATCCAATTGGTAATCATTTAAGACTGTTTCTTAATACTCAAGGTGGCATGGATTTGGAAAAGTTGTGCATGGAAATATTGTAGATAAGAGTATAAACTTATGCACAATTTCTAGAAGAAATTTCAGCAATTTAGATCACCATAAAATTGTTTCCCTGTCAGCCAACAACTGTTTCAAGGGCTATCTCCTACAGGGATAATTGGGCAAATAGTCCAGCGAGTCTACCCAGGTGCGTTATGGTATTGCTTAAAATTGTAAAAATATCAGGAATCAGCAGTTTATATCAAGAGGAGATAAATTGAGTAAATTATGTAACTTCTTTCCATGAATACCATGAATTCATACAAGGTGAGGAACACATACATCTTGAAAATGGAGTTGTTTTAAAGAAATCCTCTCCCAAATTCTTTTAGTAAGAGAACATCTAATTTCAGCTGGAGAAATGCTGGGTTAGTGTAATGACTACACTTTCAAACTTGCTTTGCAGGTGGGTGTGGTCATGGYACTAAATTCTGGGCAATATAAAGTGAGAGAATTTAAAATGTGTCTATGCTATGCACAAATAGTACTGCCTTCCAACACATCTCTCCCCATCCTTTTAACTGGAGGGTGGGGTAGCCACAGCCACCTTGCACTTTGACAAGGAAAGTATCATTTGGGAGGCAGAACAACAAGCTAGAAGGACCTGGGCCACAGTGCAGCTCTGGCATGCCCACTCACATGGTCATGCATGAAGGCAATTCTCTATTGCTTCTTTATGCCACCCTATTTTGGGGCCATTTGTTGTAGTAGCCCAGTCTGTATTTTAAATAATGCAGAGAGTGGGTTCYTATATATAGGGTGGAATGGCTTGATAGATGGGTAGGTATTTGGAATGCGTAAGCGTGTTAGATGACTGGTGGAAGGTGGTTAGGCAGATAGATTAGGTAGCCTTAGAGAGAGTCCATCAAAATGTTAATAGTGACCACCTATGGATGTTGTGCTCTCAGCTATTCCTGGTTTCTTGGTTACGTTTGTCCATGTTGCATGACATCTTGACATCATAGTATGTTGAAAATCTAAACTAAGTCATATGGGGGGGAAAAAGAGAATATGTGAATCTACCTTCAAAGAGGGCTCTATGTTAGAGTTGAGAATACTAAAAAGAAAACGAGCCAGTCTGAAGATTATCCAGAGAGACATCCCCCCTAAAGGCTTTGAGCAACGGCACAATGCTGGCCCAGGAGCACAGGCCCTCATGGCAGCTGTCCAGGGGGGAGAAGTGTCAGGCTCCTTGCTCCTTTTCACACCCTGGGGAAATGGCTGTGGCTTACACAGCAGCAACCCAATATGCTATTTTATCAGTAGACAGCAATCTATAAATCAAATTATTTTCAAATAATTATTTTAAGTTTATGGAAGTATGCTTTGGTTCATGAAGTACAACTAAAACTGTCTCTAGGCAGGTGTGACTTCAAATTTTCTTTCTTTCTTTCACACATCAGGGTAAAGATTCACCCAGCACAAACCTTGAATTGCAAGGCTAATGAAATGGTTGTGGGAAAGATATGATTATGAAGAACTCTCTTCCTCTTCAAATGTATTTTGTTAGATCCTAAAGATTCAAAACAACCTTGAACCAAAAGAGCAATGCTAGAGATATCACAATGCCTGATTTCAAATTTGCTACAGAGCCATCGTAACAAAAGCAGCATGGCACTGCCCCAGAAACTGACACATTGACCAGTGGAATGGAACAGAAGACACAGGACAAACCCAGGCAGCCACATCCATCTGGATCCTGACGAAGGTGCAAAAAACATACATTGGAAGGAGATAGCCTCTTCAACAAATAGTGCTAGACACTGGTCATCCATGTGGAGGTGACTAAAATTAAATCCTGTCTCTCACTGCACAAAAGTCAACTAAATATGGACTGAAGACCTAAACRTAAGACCCCAAACTAGGAAACTGCTAGAAGAAAACACAGGAGAAGCACTTCAAGAGGTAGGCACAGGCAATGACTTCCAGAACAGGGCTCCAGTAGCTCAGGAAATAACAGCAAGCACCAACTAATGGGGCGGCATCAGATTTAAAAACTTCGGCACAGCACCACACAGTGAAGACAGAGCCTGCAGAATGGGAAAAATCTTTGCCAGTTCTTCTTCTGACAGGGGACTCACATCCAAAATACACAAAGAACTCAGAAAGCCTCACACCAAAAAAAAAAAAAAAAACCAAAACAAAACTAAGCAAAACAAACAACCCAATGAATATCAGTAGGCAAATGAACTGAGCAAACACTTCTCAAAAAAAAAAAAAAAGAACTACAAACGGCCAATAATTATATGAAAAAAAGCTCAACATCTTTAGCCATTAGGTAAATGCATATCAAAATTACATTGAGATGCCATCTCAACTGTCAGATGAGCTGTCATCAAGATACAATAAACGATGCACATGCTGGCAAGGACATGGGGGAAAGGGACCCTTATACACTGCCGGAGCAAGGTGTAGTTAGCTCAGCTACTACAGAAATCAGTATGGAGGTTCCTCAGAAAACTAAAAATAAAACCATCCTATGATCCAGCTACTCCTCGGCACATACCTGAAGGAATTAAAGTCCCAGACACTAGATAWCTGCATTCCCATAGCCATTGCAACACAATTCACGGCAGCCAAGTTGCAGAAGGAACATGGATGCCCATCAATGGATAAATGGATAAAGAAAATGTGGTGTCTCTATACTCAGTGGTGCGTTCTCAGCCATAGAGAAGAAACCAGATCATTTGCAGGACAATGGATGTAACAGGAGATCATAAGACAACTCAGAGTGGCAAGTGCCACATTTTTCCTAACTGTGGGGTCCAGGAGGGAAGTAAAACATAAGATCTCTGGGAAGACTATCACGGAAGAGGAAGGGTGACAGTACAACAGGGTCCCTTCAGGCTCCGATACACACCTTGCTGCTCCACGAGGCTTATTTTAAAACTCGTGCTGGTTTTTGCTTTCCTTCCCTAACACAGGGTGAAAGTAGACTAACACTTGTTCATCCAGGTTCATCTATCATGTCCCCCACTGCATGGAAGAGTGTCCCTGCCCACAAGAGTAAAGAAGCCCCCATCCCGGGCCCTGGAGCAAGGGCTCCCCCGTGGACACCTGATGGACACTGATTAATTATATCTGCTGATAACGTGTGGACCCGGGCCCTTGTTTTCCTCTTTTAAAAGCCCCAGGGTGTCCTGACAATGAGAATCACARCCTCTGGGACAGGAGTGCCCGATGTTTCTCCTTTGTTAGCAAATCACTGAACTTTTTCCTTTTTCCCAAACCTTGACCTCACTATTGGATCAGCAATGGAGACGCGGACTGAGTTTCGGTATCAGGGTAGGGTAGGTGATGGGGGTGGATATCATCAAAGGATGTCATTTGCAGGTACCAATATGCCACAATGAAACCCATTATTCTATGTAGTTTCTTGAAATTTGCAAGGTGAGTTTAATAAGACATATTAAGTACTCTGTGCAGGGTCTGGCACATAGTGCTGATATTATAGTAAATCTTAATAATTATTATCTTTAAAACTTTCAGTGTTGGTTTAGAAATTCCACTTTGGGGAGTCTACGTTCCTAAAATAATCTGAAACAGGGAGAAACTTTATACACAAAGATGTTCAGTGCAGGATGGTTTATATTGGGAACAATCTAAAATCTACCCAAAAGTCCAACCCTTTTCTCTTCTTTTTGTTTCTTGCAGTGCCAGGGAGCAAACAGGGCTTCACATAGGCAAGGCAGGTGCCGTACCAGGGAACTACGTTCCCAGCCCCTGCGACCTTCTTTTTCTAACTCAAAGTTTCTGGGACATTTTTTTCGATGCAGAGGAAACATCTGGCCACACCCACTCATCTGTGGGTTGCCTGTGGCTGTTTTCCAAAGCTTGATCACACATAGCCCATCTTCCTGATGACAGATGGTCACGCTGTTCCCTGATGGTGCTGTGTGAACCTTGTCTTTGCCCTTTTGTGCACACGCAGCCATTCCTCTACAGTCAAACCCAGCAAGTAACTTTCTGGGACAATGAATGTGAATATATTTAAACACAAAAGATCTCACTGTATTTTCCTACCTTACAACAAAGAGCGGGGACATGTTTAAAAGGGCACAAGAGAAACTGGAAACACGGTGAGTCTTGCAGCCGGCTCCACCCACCTGATAAGTCGTTGGTGCGGTTGTTTAAGCAGTAGCAGTACCTCGTGGGGAATCTGGCCGGGTCCACTGTCTTCAGGTTAGAAACTGGGAAGAGAAGCCATCACACAGTGGCCTGACACCGGCTGRCCTTCCCCACCAGGAGCACCACCGGGAAGGGCCAGCGCCACTCACTGTTGTAAATGGCCACTGAGAACTTGTGGAAGGCGAAGGAGCTGTAGGAGGTGATGCTCAGCAAGGAGAAGAACTTCTTGCTATCTGTCCAGAGGTGGAGATGAAAACACAGAACATAATAGTATATAAACACTATATGTGAGCAAATAGACAGTGAAATTAATGCATAATAAGCCAATGATGAAAGTGAACACAGATAATAAAACAACAAAGACCAAACGACCCGCTGCCGCCCGCCTTCCCCCGGCTCTGCTGTCTTTCTGAAGCCACGGCGACTCTTTGAGTAGGAATCCCAAGCGTAGTTCCCTGAAGCTGCTGTCACCAATTTCCACAAACTTGGTGGCTTTGAACAGCAGAAATTTGTGCTGCCACAGTTCTGGAAGACTAGGGTGGTGGGTGTGCCCAGGATTCTGAATTTTAACAAGTGCCTGGAGTAAACTTTTATTGGTGACTGTGACCCACCAGGGTAGTGGCGGGGACAGTAGAACTGAGGCCCATTCTGCCTCAGTTCCTGGGCACAACCCCTTAGGGCCTGATTCCATACACTAGGTGGGAAGCCCTGACCGTGTTCTGTGAGCTCCTTGGGATATGGGTTCTGCAACGGAGTCTGAATACGCAGGCACTCAGTTCCTCGAGGTTTTCTGATGGTAAGAATTACCAAAGGCATGTGCTAAAAATGTACTTCCAGAGTCACAGCTAAGACTAAATGAATCAGAATCTCCAGGCTCAGGGTCTGGGAGCCACATATTTAATAGATGYTCCAGGTGTTTCTGATCATGCAGCAAGTGTGGAAAACCTTGGGTGAGCTCATAGGCTTGGGTTAAACTGACCTGAATTCCAGTCTGAATGGGGGGTGTGTGTGCCTGGGTTTCTGTGTCTGTGAAATGGGAGTGGGAGCACCTTCTCATGGGCTATGCGGGTTAGATTAGGCATTGAAGAGGCTGAGCTCCTGAAGGTGCCAGTCACAGCTTTTGATTCTGCAGCATTCTGCAGAGCCTGGTGCAGGRCCTTGCAGGGGACAGGATGGGGTTAACAGGAGCTCCGGAGTGCAGCCTGTCCTGCTGTCCGCTGCTTCAGTCTCTCCAGAGTTGGCATGATGATCCATCACTCCCTGCTATCGTACATGGCCCCAGGCAGCTCTATCGATGGCAGCTCTGCTGTGAGCAGCATGAGGGCGGGCCATATCTTTGCGGCTAGAGCTTCACACATTGAGATGGGAATGGAATAAGCCCTCAAATAACGTTGGATAAGTAAATGACTAAGTGGACAGGCATAAAGCCACCGCATACAGTTGTGTAGTGTGTGTACTGCACCATCCTAGGGAATGCCATGAACACAGACCTCAGTATTTGAATGAGGCTCTTCAGCTCCCTGGCCCTGCAGGGCTTCTCATTCTCTGCTTGTCATGGTCRCTGCCTACTTTACCTCTTCACCTCCCGGAATATGAGTCCTTCAGGACAGGGATCTTGCTGGATTTGTTCACTGTTTTGCCACCAACACTTAGAATAGGGAGCACCTGGTACATGACAGGTGCTTCACAAATATTTATTGAATGAAGTGTAATATAGATAATGAAGTAAAGACTGGGCTTTGCTTTCATGCTTTGCTTCATTTTAGCAGGTCCTACTTCTAGCCATCTACTTCCTGATTCTTATAATAGTAGATTCATATATTCCCATTTATTAAGTATATACTATCTAAAAGAACATAGAAAGGAAGTTGATTGCAATGGTATTKTACGCACTCAGTAGGACTCATTATGCTTTAAGGAGAGAAACTTATCTAATGGATAATTTTTGCTATTTTATGGCTATAAGAGTTTTGTTTATGACTCCTGCCCATACAGCGTGTCTGGGGTGTAGTTTGCTTTCAGAATGCTGGTAGACTCCTACCTCTCACTGGTATTTTCAGTCTCCTTGTGGGTTAGACAGCACTCTGTATTCTCCCCGCCCCCAGCACGGAGAGACCGAGGCACAGTGGAGGGGTGTATCTGGCCCAGGTGGCAGATGGGTACAGAAGAGAAGGTGTAGAGGGTGCGGACAGCAGTCCTTACCTTTTAAAGCTCTGCTCAGCATCCCGTTCACGAGCTCCGTCAGGTTCAGYGCCGACAGATCCACAGACCTGGCAGGGACCTCTGGAAGAGGTGAAAAGGCAAGGCTGCCCGCCGGCTGTCCTCCATAGAGGCAGCCTCTCCTTTCTAAAGGGCAGGCAGATGAACTTTCACTCTGGCTGGGGGCTGCACACGTGCCCAGTGCTAGGCACAGGGGGCTTGAAGACAAGGAGAGGTTTCTACCAGGAACTCAAGAGGCGACAGTCAACCACACACATGGTGACCAACATGGTGACCAAATGAAGCCCCCAAACCCTCAGGATTGTTTCACCTCTGCCTTGGAGGGGCTTGGGGTTGGTGGGACACTTGTCACCTGCAACGGGAAGCCCAAAGGATATCACATGAGGTCTAGGTGGCTCTGAATTTGGAAATAAGTGCTCTGTGTGAAAGAGGGGTGTAAATCCTGATGGGCCACTGACATCACCAGAGAAGATTTGGTTTCAAAGTCCACGATTTTGATGCTTGGGCTCCCTTCTCAGAGCTCCGGGTTTCATAGGTCATCAGTATGAAAAAGCAAAACCCCCAGGTATCAATGTGTGCAGCCACGTGGACAGACACTGCCAGGGGAAACCCCTCCTCTCCCAAGTGTTGCTTGAAACTGATGGACCTGGCAGCAACGGTGCTCCATGCTCCCCTTAATATTGCTGCAAGCCTTGTCTTCAACTTACACTAAATGCTCAGTTAACAATCAGAGATGCTGCTACCCTACTGTCAGGGAGGTTCAGGGAGGTGGTAGAACTTGCAGCAGCCCATATCTGTGTGAAGTGGTCGGGGGGAGACTCACCRGTGTTAGCGAGAAACGCCACCCCCTTCTCCTTTCTCTCTTCTCTTCTAAGGACAGACACTAGGAAGGAAAAAGTTTTCATGACCGAAATGCAAGTCCCCATTCCCAGCCTCAGGGAGCTGGAGAAGTTGGAGCCCTGCTGTAGCTGGCCTCAGGCTCCGCAGTATAATAAGGTCCCTGGGGGAAACTGAGAAAGGCAGCTCCAGAGTCCTCTTGCAGGCACCCTCACCTCCTAATCTTAATCTCCCAGAGATGGGTGTGGCCTGCAAATCTACATCTTAATAAATATAAAAGATGATTACAACACGGAGTCTAATCTACCCAACTCCTTAACTGGGTCAGGAAACTGAGCACAGCAAGAACTTGCCTTCACTGTACCAACTGAGCAATGGTAACAAAGGGCTGAGAATCGACTTCCTAGAACTGCAGAGAAGAGGTCCCTCCAAAGCGTCAGGTTGCTTGTCTACTTGGCAAAGTTTGTGATGTCCAAGAAAATATCAAAGGAAATTTTGAAATGTCAAAAGCATTCATTCATTTATTCAACAGATACTCATGGAGGGCCTAGCAAGGTGCTAGGTGTTGGGTACAATGAGGTAAACTGGAAATAATCGTCTCTACCTCCAGGAAGCTTCCTGTCTGTGGCTTGGGCAGCAGGAGATTCACCTGTAATGACAGGTGAGAGATGTCAATACAGGGAACAGCAGGGTGCTCTCAACACTCTTCTGAGCTCACTAAGCTGGGGATGGAGAAGGCCTCCTGAGGAAATGACTGACCTGGAGGATCAGTTAGCTTGCATTAGAGGAGTTACTGCCACACTATATCTGCTACTGTCCTTGCTGCAGCCATAATTAAACGTTAATGCTGGGCTGGGTTGTGTCTCAGCAGCAGAGCGCTCGCCTAGCACATTCGAGGCCCAGTTGGATCCTCAGTACCATATAAAAATAAATAAAGGTATTGTGTCCAAATACAACTAAAAAATAAAAAGTTAATGCTTATTTTCCACATGTACATTTAGATAGAGAGGGTAATTTATGTCCATTTTATAGATGGAAGAACCAAAGGCCCAGAGAGTCTGAAAGAGGTACCCAGCACTCCAGAGTAAGCCAGGGTGAGCCTAGTTACCTGTTGCTCCTGGGAGAGCCCCATCTTTCTCCTTATTAATGCCTCTGTTTCCAGACACTGAAATAAAAATTTTTATCAGGAAAATAGTATCCTGGAAGTGCAGCTTCATGTAATTTATCCATCTGAAGGGGGAGAAAATTGAGATGCATAAAAGTTAAGCCCACAGCCAGCTAGAGGCTAAGATAAAACCCTCTGCTTGTCCGTGCTGCTTCCACATGCTTTTTTTTTTTTTTAAATTTCATTTTAGTGTGATAAGAACAATAAATATGAAGTCTACCCCCAACCACATTTTTCTGGCACAGTATGGTATCGTTAGCCATAGGCACTGTGTTGTACGGCAGAGCTCTAGAACTTCTTCATCTTGTAGATCTGAAACTTTATACGTGTTGAACGACAAACTCGGCGTCCTTCCTCCTCCATCCCCGGTGACCACCTTTCTCCTCTCTGTGCTGTGAGCCTCYCTCTTCCAGGGTCCTCATGTAAGTGCCCTGCTGTGACTGGCTTATTCCATGGAACACTGTGTCCTCAGAATTCATCTGTGTTGTTGCAAAAGGAAGGATTTTCTTCTCTCAAAATTGAATCATATTCCATTCTACGTAAAGGCCACAAGTTCTTTATCCATCCATCCACCGATGGCTAGGTAGCCTGTGCCCTCCTGCTTTTCAAGTATCCTACTGAAGCTGAGGTCGGGTCAACTTTTGCCTGCTTACACCATTGTGGCTTTTTACCAGTTATCAAAGTTTTTTTTGGTTAAATACCAGATCTTCTGGGGTTAGAGACACATGAGGGCTATGAATTCCCTTTCCCCTAACATGGCTGCCAGAGGTAGAGGGGTTGTGTTACAACAAAAGGAACTTTGAGACAAACATAAATTATTAAGCAGGTCAAGCTATCAAATGACTTGTTCACTGGCTTGGAAGAGTCCAGCTCTGTCTCCTCAGGTGCTCTGAGTAGCACTGTACCTGCACAGTCTGCCCTGGAGCAGCCCCTGAGATCTGGGGGGGGGCACCCCCAGACCTGCTGGCTACCCACCCAGCAGCAGCAGCCTCTGTGCAGGGTACAGGGCTACTGAGGGCTGCTGCCTGGCATGATGCGCACACTTTTCTGCCACGGTGGTCAGCCTGGTTCAGTCTTTCTGACCATAATTCTCTCTCTCTCTCTCTCTCTCTCTCTCTCTCTCTCTTTCTCTTTTGTTATTAGTTTGCTATTTTAAGTAAATAAATCTATTCACATTGTTTTTACTTCCATAAATTTAGGTGTATTCTCATTGATTTGATAGTAATAATTTTAGATTTAATAGAATCTAATAAATCATACATGATTCCTGCAAAATAATCTCTCAGAAATAAATGGAATGGCTTCAAGGAATCCATCCCATCTTCTTGAATTCATACTTATGGACTATGCATATGAAAATAAATATTAAATTAAAATTATGCCAAAATTATTATATTTTCTGACCATAATTCTTGAACAGACTCCTTTTACTTAAAAAAAAAAATTATGCCTAGCACTCCTTTTTCTAATTGCAAATCCTTGGGTGGATTTTAGTAACACTATTTGAAGTGTGAACTAAATACCCCTGAAGCACAAATTATGGAATAAGATGTTATACAGAAGCATTTTTCAAATAAATTTCTGGATATATTATATAAATTCATTATTMTATTCTATTTTTGGATAAAAAAGCCACCTTGGGGAATGGGTAGCTCAGTGGTGGAGTGCTTGGTTAGCATGGGGGAGACCCTGGCCTCCATCCCCAGCACCTCCAAAACACAAGCAGACAGTGGCATCTTTACAACGGAAGGTACCTGACACATCRCATGCTTCTTCACACTGAGTATTTTATCACCTCTCATCCTTTATGATTACCTACAGAACAGGTACTGTGTTCTCATTTGAGGAGGAGAAAATTGGAAGTTCAATAGGGTTAACATTCATGAAAAATGATCCTGCTTGTTCACATATTGGTGCCTCTGGCATCCTTAGGGAAAGGGGAGGAGTGGGCTGGGGAAGCGTCTTATCTTTATATACCTTTGTACCTTGTGTAATTGAATTATGTGAGTGTTCTAACTAATTAAAGATAAAAATTTAGAAAATTAAAAGTAACTTTCATGACTCTCCCACCTAAAAAGCATATAAAATTATTTGCTTATTTATCAAAAATTTAGGTCAGGCTTGGTGGCTCACGCCTGTAACCCCAGTAAGTCTGGATGCTGAGGCAGGAGGGTCAGAAGTTCAGGGTCAGCCTGTCAACTTAGAGACACTCTGTGTCAAAATAAGAAAAAAATAGGAAGAGAGCATTGCTCCCTGACTCTGTTCCGTACCGTGCCAGGTATTCGTCATCTCTGCACAGCCAATTTCATACCATCACAAAGGAAAGGCAAAGAGAGATGAAACTATTACGAAGGTGATGATGGCCAATGACAATACTTCCCATTATAAAACCCTCTGTCACTGGTGGGATGTCGGATTGGTCTTTGTGATTTAATAAGATTGTGAGAGAATCCAAGTATCCCACAAGCCATAAGGTCAGCTGCCGCCCATGGGAATGATGACGGTGACTGTCAGAGCGTTAGCTGCAGACTCAGTCTCCGGCCATGGAGAGAGAAGGGAGGCACAGAGGGTTGGAATTTGCCCAAGAATGGTGAGCGCAGGAGGAGACCTGCCCATTTACCTGTTCTAGGTAGGAAGGTCATTCCCTTTTCTTTCTTGGATTCTCCCGTAATGCCAGACACTAAAGTAAAAAATGTTTCATGAGAGAAATTATTACCCAGAGGTAACATCAGAGAGAATTTAAATTTGAATTGCCCATTTTATAGATGAGAAAATTGTGATTTGCTTAAAATCCCACATGTAGTCTGCTCATTCGTCCAATCATTAGCCATCAAATACTTAGTGACAAACTGTTAGAACACTAGAACTTGATGACACCATCGAGCCCCAGGGTCTGCTCAGTGTTGTGAGTGGGGACTGTGAGTGGGGACAGCAGGAGCCTGATCTCATGTCAGTGACCCGGAGGCCTTCCTGTGTGTGTGTGTGTGTGTGTGTGTGTGTATGTGTGTGTGTGTGTGTGTTGGGGAGGGGGTATTAAGCCTTGACTTGAAGGATGAGTCGTGTTCGGGTAGGATTTAGTTGGCCGAGAGGGCCTTCCATGGGCAGGGTAGCATAGCCAAAGGCCTGCAGTGGGCACATCATTTTGAAGAACTGACAGAGGCTAAGGTGATGGAGACCATGGGAAAAAAGAGGCTGGGATTTGTAGGAACGGGTGAAGGTGAGAAAAGAAGGGCCTGTGGAGCACCTGGGGCTCAGGACAGTCCCCTGAAGGAGGGCGTCATTGAGTGATGTTTGGGGAGTGAAGAAGAGAAATGGGAGGARGAATCAAAACATAAAAACCAAAATGGACTTACAGTGGCCATTTTGATCAGATTCATTTAGGGTTAGGGTTGAAACATTGGCTGCTGAGATTCTCAAAGCACAATGAATACCCAAATTTCCTATATAGAGCAGATACTTCTGGAACTGACCAGACCTACCTGTGTTCCCGAGCGACAGGACACAGACAAGTCCCATGCATAGCCTTAGTGGGGGACCATGCAGCAGGAAGCTTGGCATGTTGTGATCCTCTGGCCACCTGGAAGCAGACAAGTTGGCACTTAGAGGGAATAGGGTTGAATATTAAAAACATGGATGCAGAAAGTACTTGGAGATCAGCACATGGGGAGTCATTAGAATAACAATCTGAAAAAGGCTTTGAAGTAGTTAGTATAGGTTGGGTTAAGTTGAGATAACAATATTAACCCCATTATTGTCTCAGCTTAATTCAACAACAAAACTGATTTCTTGTATATAATCCACACTTGACTAAAAACAATTTGATAGTGAACATGGACTCACTGGGCCCAGGCGGGGGTGGGGGGGCCTAGTTGGTGGTTCTCCCTCTTCATGGAAAATTGCATTTTGAAAGGTTTTGCTTACATTAGGAATGAAAATTCCTGTGGAGTTTTCTGGAGATTTCCCAGAAAACATTTTAATTGCTTTTTTATTCTTGGTAGGTGCCTGACTGGTGTTTCTTCTGAGTGCCACTCTAAACAAAGACAGACCTTACAAAGAATCAAAAGGCTGGGGTTTCTTGGAGTTCTTTTTGGAGTTCTCTTATCCCTGCTCCACCCCAACACCGAAGCACCTGGGGTCAAGTTCCTCACACACAGATTTCGAGGGTCGTATTGAGAACATCACACCAGGCGTCAGACCCAGGCTGCAACAGAGGGATGGGGTAGTCATGCCTTTCTCCTCAAGTTGTGAGCCACTGGGAGGAAATAGACACATGGCCAGCTCATTCACACTGGAGGCCACCTGTGCTAAGACCTCCAAAGGGAGAGAGAGGGAGAAGGGAAGAGGCTGGGGAGGCAGGACTCAGCACTCTCCTCAGCAAAGGGTTGTGGCTGTGAAGCCAGGAAATGTGGAGAACCAGGTGCAGACTCTTCCCAGGGCCTCTGCTGCTGGGGAAGCTTTGCCCACCGGCCTCTCTGAGTGTCACTCACAGAATGGACAGTCACGGCTCTCCCCGTGTTTCCTGAGTGAGAGGGTGAACTACAGTGCCCAGTGCAGGCTCTGGGATGTGGTCGCTACTTGGGAATCTGAATTCCTGTCTTGTTATCTTTTCTCTTTTTCCTCTTCCTCTTCTGCGTCTGTGCTGGAGCTCAGGATCCCAGCAGACACCAACTTACAGTAGAAAAAGTGGCTGTCTAGCAAAACAGCTATATAAATCTACATTTAGGTTTCCTATAGAGATTGCATATCTAGACGTCATATTTTATCATAAATATACCATAGATTTATGTAATCTATATTATAACTATATTTAGATACAAATTTCTTTTCCTTTTTGACTCATTGCTTGCTTCATTGTTACCTTTCTCTTCCACTTACTAAGCGTGAATATGCTGACATCTATTACTTTAAGACTGAAATTCCTGTTGGTTTTGTTCATGTGGAAAGAAAACCTCCTCCCTTCACTGTGTGCCCTTGGCCACATCACTATGTGGAACGAGGCTGGTGGATGTAGCAAAGAGAAACAGGGGATACATAGGAAATATAAATATAAATATAAATATAAATATAAATATAAATATAAATATATATTTATATATAAATTTGAGATTAAAAAAATATTTTAGTGTGTCTTGTTTGGTATTTGAAACAAGCCTGGTTTGGAGATTCAGGGGGTCTTGTTAAGGAACTTCACTGCTTACCCAAGTTGACCAGCTGGGCATCACTCTGTGGTGAGAGCGAGATCATCCAGCCTCCCCGGCCTCTCCTGGCAAGCCTGGAGGGACAGGCTGGGGCACCAGGAGGAGCCCAGGCTGAAGGTTGGACAGACTTAATTTGCTTCCTGGGTTGGTCACTGTGATCTGGGCCATGCTGGACCTTCACCCACTCAGAACACGATGGGAGSGCTTGGGGTAGTTGCTGCCGCGTGGACCCAGGAGTCAGAATGGCTAGGTCTCCTTCCTGACTCAGCCACCCGCTAGCTGTCCAGGTTACTAAGACTCTCTGTGCCTCATTTCCCTCACTCCAGGCTGACACGAGGACRAAGCACTTGTTATGTATAAAGTGCACTGGGAAGTGTCTGGCACAGGGCAGGTGCTGCATAGCTGTTCAACAAATCATCCAAAGTGATGGTGCTCAGTGGAACATGTCAGCACTCCAGTAGGCAGGGTGATGTCCCCGTGGAATGGAATGACAACCCTCAAAGTCATCTATTACAAAGACTAGCCAGCTGTCCAAAAAATTGCCCTGAAACAGAGTTATCTTTATTTTCCTGCGTTCCTCATGGTTCTTATTGGATAATTTTTTGCAAATCATGGCTTCTTCAGGGTCCCCTGCAGAAAAGCAAGGCATGTAACCATGGGACAAGAGCAGTGTACTGGAGGGGATCAGAATAAGCCACCCCCAAATAAACCACTTTAGCACATGGATTATTTGGAGCTGAAGGTCATTGAGAATTGAACATAAAGATGCTTCCTCAAAGCTCTTCCTCTCTGACTATGTGCATAAATTTATAAGAAATACGGACAATTTAAATCCTCTTTCCCAGGAGAGTCTCATAGCCATGAAGAAGATGGAAAATTGGCGCTAAGCAGGCCCTGCATGAGCAAATCACTAAAATAATCCTTCTCTTCCATTAGTGTCCCCAGCATTTTCCTCCCCACAATCTACCACCTCCAGAGGCTTGAAATGTTTTTTCTTTGACTTGTCTCTTCTCCCCATTTTGCTGATCTCTCATTGAAATGGTATATAAGCCTCTGGGTGTTTTTTGGGGATTTTCATCTGATCTCTGTGAGGCCTGCCCTAAGCACATGAAATAAACCTTTTATTCCTGTTAGTTTATCTTTTTTTCAGTTCAATTTGCAAGGCCCGAGCCACTAAATCTAAAAGAATAGAGAAAATTTTGTTGTTATTGTTGTTTTTTTTTTCCTCCCCAATAGTACAATTTATTGAGCCTCCACTCGGGGGACAAGATCTTTATTGTTTTACCCTGCCAAGTAGGCTGCGCCAGAGAGATGTCGATTAATCTGTTACACAAGAGAAAGATCTGAGGATCAGAGTGGAGCCCCTCCAGCCAAAGGCCACATGGCTCCAAATGGGAGAACTGGGATTTGAACTTGGTCTCGGATTCTGAAGACAGTGTCACTTTCCAGCTGATTCAGTTCTACTCTCCCACCTGCAAAATATCCTAGAGTGTCGCTAAAGGATCCATTGTTGAAACAAACAAAGTTGATTACTTCCAAGCATTGTGGTGGGCAGAGGGTTAGAAACCAGTCACATTCCCAGGAGAAGGGCTAAGAAGTGTCACTGAGACTGAGGATCCAAGAATCTGCCCTTGAGTCTTGTGAAATTAGTCTAGGACATGGACATGTCTGTGTTCTATCAGTAACAGCCCTGTGGCTGGGAAGGAGGGTGCTAGGGACAACACCTCTCAAGTCTCAATGGAACATTGAGTGACTTCCAGGTAACAAGGACCACAAGTCAACCACTCTGTCCAGCTGGACCAGCAAACCTGCCTTTCCCAGTGTCTTTGCAGCTGAAAGTCACCCAGTTAGATACAGAATAATCACAACGCGCAACATGAACACGGTAAAGCGCGTGCTGAAGCACCTCCCGGTGCGGGTGGCCTCCTGGAGTGCTGGAAGGCCTGGGTGATACATCCTGAAGGCAGCCATGGCACCCTTCCCCGTCAGCATCAGCTCCCTCTCCTTGAGGCAGAACCAGAGGCTTGGGGATTCCAGAGAGTGGCCTGAGATCACTAAGCTGGTGGGACAGTTCTGGGTTTTAATCTCAAGCTGTCACCCAGGGAACACTGAAGAGTGAGTGTCTGCCTTCAGAAAAGATTCAAGGAAGAAAAACAAGGGAGGCATCTAACACTCGTGGACTGTCCACGGGAGTGTCCCATGGGTGACCCTGTGGTAGCCTCTGGGTCCTTAAGCCACCTCCTCATTCCCAGCTGTCATCTTTAGGTTTTAGTTTGAGGAAACCAAGGCTCAGCTGAGAGTCGGTGGCAGGAAGTGCAGCTAGGAGAGCCAGGCTTGGAACTTGTCCGTTTACCTCCAGGTCCTCGGTGGGCRGACCACTGACTCAGAGAGCAACTTTTTAGCGGCTGCCTTGCTGCCAGCCATGCTTTAGGGGATTCTTTTGTTCTCATTCCAATTCTTTGAATTAAAGATCATGTTTCCTCTCTCACAGATGTGAGGACAAGTCCTCCTCCTGGCTGACGACTGCATTAAGATCCTAATCGATAGCTTAAGAAGAAAAATGGAAAGCAACCGACAGCCATCAAGGGATGGAGTCTTAGCCCGGTGCAGATAACTGGTTGATGGAAACCGCTCGTATCACTCAGCATCTGGAGCCCAGCTCAGGAATTAGAGCAGATGCATTTCTTAGCTGGCTTTAGCTAAGGAGGCTTAAAATATCTACAGTATAGGACTTACCTGTCTCCTGAGCAGGACGAGTGACTTCAAAGAACTTAAACAGCCTGAAAGATTAACTGCTAGGTCTGTGCCTTGGGATTTATATGAGTTCTTAGTGAAAGATACAGGGGGTGGGGAGAGGCTTGATAACTTTGCTTTAAATCCTTTGCAAAAAAGGGGGGAAAAAAGCAGCAATAATCCTACCCAAAACTCTGGGCAGTGAAAGGGGATCAGCTCCATTGGAGAAAAATGCCCATGATAAGCTGAATAGAATCCAGGAAGGGACTGACAATGCTGTGATTCAGCAAGGGCTGGGAAAGCTTTCCCAACTGTAATGACCACATTGAAGGAGCCACACGGGAGGTAGCAGGTGGTGACTCTCCCTTCCTGTCACGAAGGTCTGTGGGCTCAGCATCACCTGGCACACAGCCAGCGGGAATCTTCTGAAGCAGCTGGGGCTGCTGGGGCTGGACAGGGCTGGCAGGAGCCGGGAGCAGGCGCACCATACCAGTTACCTATGTGAAGAGAACCTTAAGCTCAGGAGAACTTTATAGCTTCAAATGGATGGGAAAAAGATGAAGAATATTTTGTTGACATGTAAAAATGGCGTGATGAATTTCAGTGTTCTTTGGCAAACTTCCATYG